AGAAAGAAATAAATTATAAGCTGCAATATTACAGTCGAAATACAATAAAATACATTGAACTCTTTAATTAGATAGAATTTAGTGTTTACTGGTATCTAATATGTGCTTATTATAACAAATATTAGCACTATAAGATGCTAGGGGAGATTAAGAAATAAACTGCAATATTAGAGACGAAATATATTGAACAGTTTAATTAGAAAGAATTTAGTGTTTGCTGGTATCTAATATGTGCTTATTGTAACAAATATTAGCACTATAAGATGCTAGGGGAGACTATATCATAAGCTGCAATATTAGAGACGAAATACATCGAACAGTTTAATGAGAAAAAATTTAGTGTTTACTGGTATATAATATGTGCTTATTATAACAAATATTGGCACTATAAGATGCTAGGAGAGACTAGATTATAAGATACAATATTAGAGAGGTGTGCATTAAACAGTCTAATTAGATAGAATTTAGTGTTTACTGGTATCTAATATGTGCTTATTATAACAAACATTAGCACTATAAGATGCTAAGGGAGACTATATTATAAGCTGCAATATTAGAGACGAAATATATCGAACAGTTTAATGAGAAAAAATTTAGTGTTTACTGGTATATATTATGTGCTTATTATAACAAATATTAGCACTATAAGATGCTAGGAGAGACTAAATAATAAGCTGGAATTTTAGAGAAGAAATACATCGAACACTTTAATAAGATAGAATTTAGAATTTAGTGTTTGCTGGTATCTTATATGTGCTTATTATAACAAATATTAGCACTATAAGATGCTATGAGAGACTAAATTATAAGCTGCAATATTAGAGTCGAAATACAATGAATAACAATTAACAGTTTAATTAGATAGAATTTAGTGTTTACTGGTATCTAATATGTGCTTATTATAACAAATATTAGCACTATAAAATGCTAGGGGAAATTAAGAAATAAGCTGCAATATTAGAGAAGAAATAAATTGAACTGTTTAATTAGAAAGAATTTATTGTTTACTGGTATCTAATATGTGCTTATTTTAACAAATATTAGCACTATGAGATTCTAGGGGAGACTAGATAATAAGCTGCAATATTAGAGAAGAAATACAGTTTAATGAGATAGAATTTAGAATTAAGTGTTTACTGGTATCTTATATGTGCTTATTATAACAAATATTAGCACTATAGGATGGTAGGAGAGACTAAATAATAAGCTGCAATATTAAGACGAAATACATTGAACATTTTAATTAGATAGAATTTAGTGTTTGCTGGTATTTAATATGTGCTTATTGTAAAAAATATTAGCACTATAAGATGCTAGGGGAGACTTACTTATCAGCTGCAATATAAGAAAAGAAATACATACAACAGTTTATTTATAAAGAATTTAGTGTTTGCTGGTATCTAATATGTGCTTATTTTAACAAATATTAGCACAATAAGATACCAGGAGAGACTAAATAATAAGCTGCAATATTAGAGACGAAATACATTGAAAAGTTTAATGAGATAGAATTTAGAATTTAGTGTTTACTGGTATCTTATATGTGCTTATTTTAACAAATATTAGCACTATAAGATGCTAGAAGGGACTAAATAATAAGCTGCAATATTAGAGAAGAAATACATCGAACAGTTTAATGAGATAGAATTTAAATTTTAGTGTTTACTGGTATCTTATATGTGCTTATTATAACAAATATTAGCACTATAAGATGCTAGGAGAGTCTAAATAATAAGCTGGAATATTAGAGAAGAAAATACATCGAAAAGTTTAATGAGTTAGAATTTAGTGTTTACTGGTATCTAATATGTGCTTATTATAACAAATATTAGCACTATAGGTGCTAGAAGAGACTAAATAATAAGCTGCATTATTAGAAACGAAATACACAGAACAGTTTAATTAGAAAGAATTTAGTGTTTACTGGTATCTAATATGTGCTTATTATAACAAATATTAGCACTATAAGATGCTAGGAGAGACTAAATAATAAGCTGCAATATTAGAAACGAAATACATTTAACAGTTTAATTAGAAAGAATTTAGTGTTTACTGGTATCTAATATGTGCTTATTATAACAAATTTTAGCACTATAAGATACTAGGAGAGACTAAATAATAAGCTGGAATATTAGAGAAGAAATACATCGAACAGTTAAATGAGATAGAATTTAGAATTTAGTGTTTACTGGTATCTTATATGTGCTTATCATAACAAATATTAGCACTATAAGATGCTAGGGGAGACTAAATTATAAGCTGCAATATTAGAGTCGAAATACAATAAAATACATTGAACACTTTAATTAGATAGAATTTAGTGTTTACTGGTATCTAATATGTGCTTATTATAACAAATATTAGCACTATAAGATGCTAGGCGAGATTAAGAAATAAACTGCAATATTAGAGACGAAATACATCGAACAGTTTAATGAGAAAAAAATTAGTGTTTACTGGTATATAATATGTGCTTATTATAACAAATATTAGCACTATAAGATGCTAGGAGAGACTAAATAATAAGCTGGAATATTAGAGAAGAAATACATCGAACAGTTTAATAAGATAGAATTTAGAATTTAGTGTCTGCTGGTATCTTATATGTGCTTATTATAACAAATATTAGCACTATAAAATGCTAGGAGAGACTAAATAATAAGCTGCAATATTAGAAAAGAAATAAATTGAACAGTTTAATTAGAAAGAAATAAATTATAAGCTGCAATATTACAGTCGAAATACAATAAAATACATTGAACTCTTTAATTAGATAGAATTTAGTGTTTACTGGTATCTAATATGTGCTTATTATAACAAATATTAGCACTATAAGATGCTAGGGGAGATTAAGAAATAAACTGCAATATTAGAGACGAAATATATTGAACAGTTTAATTAGAAAGAATTTAGTGTTTGCTGGTATCTAATATGTGCTTATTGTAACAAATATTAGCACTATAAGATGCTAGGGGAGACTATATCATAAGCTGCAATATTAGAGACGAAATACATCGAACAGTTTAATGAGAAAAAATTTAGTGTTTACTGGTATATAAAATGTGCTTATTATAACAAATATTAGCACTATAAGATGCTAGGAGAGACTAAATTATAAGATACAATATTAGAGAGGTGTGCATTAAACAGTCTAATTAGATAGAATTTAGTGTTTACTGGTATCTAATATGTGCTTATTATAACAAATATTAGCACTATAAGATGCTAGGAGAGACTAAATTATAAGCTGCAATATTAGAAAAGAAATACATGGAACACTTTATTTATAAAAATTTATTGTTTGCTGGTATCTAATATTTGCTTATTTTAACAAATATTAGCACTATAAGATGCTAGGAGGGACTAAATAATAGGCTGGAATATTAGAGAAGAAATACATCGAACAGTTTAATGAGATAGAATTTAGAATTTAGTGTTTGCTGGTATCTTATATGTGCTTATTATAACAAATATTAGCACTATTAGATGCTAGGGGAGACTAAATTATAATCTGCAATATTAAGAGTCGAAATACAATGAAATGCATTGAACAGTTTAATGAGATAGAATTTAGTGTTTACTGGTATCTAATATGTGCTTATTATAACAAATATTAGCACTATAAGATGCTAAGGGAGACTATATTATAAGCTGCAATATTAAAGACGAAATATATCGAACAGTTTAATGAGAAAAAATTTAGTGTTTACTGGTATTTAATATGTGCTTATTATAACAAATATTAGCACTATAAGATGCTAGGAGAGACTAAATAATAAGCTGGAATATTAGAGAAGAAATACATCGAACATTTTAATAAGATAGAATTTAGAATTTAGTGTTTGCTGGTATCTTATATGTGCTTATTATAACAAATATTAGCACTATAAGATGCTAGGGGAGACTAAATTATAAGCTGCAATATTAGAGTCGAAATACAATGAATATCATTGAACAGTTTAATTATATAGAATTTAGTGTTTACTGGTATCTTATATGTGCTTATTATAACAAATATTAGCACTATAAGATGCTAGGGGAGATTAAGAAATAAGCTGCAATATTAGAGAAGAAATACATTGAACAGTTTAATTAGAAAGAATTTAGTGTTTACTGGCATCTAATATGTGCTTATTTTAACAAATATTAGCACTATGAGATTCTAGGGGAGACTAGATAATAAGCTGCAATATTAGAGAAGAAATACATCGAACAGTTTAATGAGATAGAATTTAGTGTTTACTGGTATCTAATATGTGCTTATTGTAAAAAATATTAGCACTATAAGATGCTAGGAGAGACTAAATAATAAGCTGCGATATTAGAGAAGAAATACATCGAACAGTTTAATTAGATAGAATTTAGTGTTTACTGGTATCTAACATGTGCTTATTATAACAAATATTAGCACTATAAGATTCTAGGAGAGACTAAATAATAAGCTGCGATATTAGAGAAGAAATACATCGAACAGTTTAATTAGATAGAATTTAGTGTTTACTGGTATCTAACATGTGCTTATTATAACAAATATTAGCACTATAAGATTCTAGGAGAGCAAACAAGATTCTCTTTTGAAGTATTGGTCTGTTTTAATTGATTTTTCCAATGTTTTGGATGTTATGATTTCTGTGGGCAGTAGTACGTCCCGAGGGCTGCGAACATAATGTGCTCTGTTTCGTGTCTATAAACCACACCCCATTAAGCATACTTCCTCGAGACCGTGGTAATAGAACTGAAATTGCGCAGTCATAGCTAAATATTGTCCAATCAAAATTGACCCTGAAATCTTTCTAGTAAAATCTCAGCCAATCAAATCAAATCATCCGTTATGACGCTCGAAAGCAACTGTTTTAATTAATATGAACGATACAGAATTGAGTGAGATTTTCGGTAAATATTTGAAGGTGGAATAATTATAATCATAACGCGCATTAATTCAATTTTCCAGCCAACTTTTGTCTTGATAAACTACCATAACCGCCATAGGGTAACAGTTTACTGCTTAAATATTCAGGATCCAAATCAACCCCCGAAAATGGCGCATAAGTTTCATTACCTGAAAGATGAGATTATTGCATATAACTCAATATATTATATTTCACAGTGAGCAAGTCTTCTTATGTCATACACGATCTTAACCTATGATAATCGTTTGATTTAAAGTGTTTAAAAATTTTTTCTTATCATGATACAACTATTATTGTGATCGGTTCCCTCCCTTGACTATTAAAGGACTAAGACCGTCAATTCATTTGCCATCTGTTTCCATGTTAAATCACAAAATTCAACCTTCTATAACTTTTTCCAGAAATCTCATTGAAAACTTTCATATGTCAAATGAAAACCTGGCAAAAACTTAGTTTCTGGACAAAAATTCAATATATGATGATCATGAAAATCTTGAATTAGCCAAACTGAAAGTAGGCTACTACATTTTATCAACATCCGCTTGACTGTCTATGCACACAAAACGACTATTTTCAGAATTATCCTTCCGCATGAAATCTCTCATCATCTCACAAAATCTGAAAGAAAATGTAATTTCAGACATCAAATTCCAAATGTAGACCAAAAATTAGTCAAAAATAGGCATGCAAAATGCCAAAAGGGAGGGAGAAAGAGGATTTCTAAAAATAATACATAACTGGATCGTGAGAGTGCATAAAGGCGTCCGGTTTAAGCCCCTGGTAATTGGCCAATTCTATAGAGTTAATAAAACGATTGATAATACAGTTGGTTCTTTTCTTAGTTTAAATTACAGAGCATCTAATTCACTACATTCATTCTATTTTACTTTTAGTTTTATACTTTTTAGTTTTATACTTTTTACTTTTAACTATTTGAATTCATGACAACACTGAGGCCATGACCGGAAGCATGGTTATTACAAAAAGTACGGATCAGATAAAACTTATAAAAATATAAGGAAACAATTTGGAACATGGACAGTCAATTCAATAGTCTCTTGCAGAACATTCTCCCAGCCGATGAGGCGTTAGTCCTCATCCAAATCAGATTATTCAGTTGCAGGCAAAATGACACAAATTTTAGTAACAGGTCTATTATATTCAGAGTCTTTGGTTTTAACTTTAACGTTTCTCACACGATTATCAGCTCCGGGGTAAACTTCTAATATTCTTCCTAAAGTCCATTTTCCATGGATAGCATTTTGATTTTGAATTATAACAATGTCATTTACACAAACATTACGTTTTTCAGTGTTCCATTTTTTACGCGGTACCAATAGTGGCAAAACATCTCTATTCCATTGTTTCCAAAAAGAGTCAACTAATTTCTGAACAAATTCCACACGATGTCTAGGATTTTTAGTTTCACGAAAAGGTCCTTGTGGTACATGACTTGACGCACGACCTAACAGAATATCATTAGGACATATATAAGAACCATCATTGGGTATTCTTCCTATTGGACGTTGATTGACGAGATTAGCACATTCGAGTAGGTAAGTATATAGTTCAAAGGAAGTCAATAATTGTTCACCAACAGATTTCTTCAGAGCAGTTTTGCAGACTTTAACCATACATTAAGCGCAACCATTTTTGATGTGGAGCAGCAGGAGTAGTTAATTTCCACGTCATTCGATTTTCAGCACAAAAGTCTTTTAAAGTTTCTTCATCATATCCTTTGATCATTTGTCTCAGTTCTTTTTCAGCACCAACAAGTTGTGAACCATTATCACTTAACATTAAAGAAGGAGTCCCACGTATACTGAAAAATCTTCTTAAAACTTGTATGAACTCCATGGTCGAATAATCAACAGCAAGTTCCAAATGAACAGGTCTAGTGTTCAAACATGTAAATAATACACCATAATGTTTAGCAGTTTTGTTTCTACCAATTTTGACATTGTAAGGACCGAAATAATCAACAGCAGTGTAATAAAAAGGCGGTGTAAATGGAGCTAAACGAATTTTTGGCCATTCCATCATAAATTGATTTTCAACTTTGTGTTCAAATTCTTTACACACAACACATGAACTTTCAGTATCCAATATTTTCTTCTTATTCTAGCAGCAGTAGCAGCAATTCCTAGGTGACCATTATTGTGTGCCTGACAAGCTATTAATATAGATATTCGATGATCATTGGGCAGCAAACCAGGGTGTTTAGAATCATAGGAGACAAAAGCATCATTCAATCTACCTCCAACGCGTAAAATTCCACCTTCATCTGTAAATGGGCTTAAAGTTTTAAAGTCTCCCTTTTGTTGACGATCATATAAACTAAGTTGAGCGAGCTTAATCCAGTAAGTTTCAGAGTTAACCAATTCTTCAGCAGATAAAACTTCTTTTCTTTTAACAGCATTTCTTCTTTCAGCAGATAAATTACATATGAATCTTAAAACATAAGCAGTTACTCGTATCAGTTTGTTCCACGTAGAATAGTTATTACAGTTTATAATATCTTCATTAACAGTTACAGCACTCATAGATTTACGAATTTCCATTTCCATATCAGTATCAGCTACTTTAACAGTGTTAATAGGCCAATTTTCTTCTTCTTCTAATAAAAAACCATTTTTCCATCTTTCAGTTAATTGACTAGCAGGTATACCACGTGAAATATCATCAGCTACATTATCTTGTGAACGAATATGATACCATTGAGCAGGATCAGTTGTATTCTGTATTTCGAGATGAGACAAAAGGTTTGTATTTTCTGGCTTGGCTTTTTATCCAGGCAAGAACTATCATACTATCTGTCAGGAAAATAGTTTTCTCAAATTTCAGTCGTGTTTCTTCCATAATAGTTTTATAAAGACGAGTAGACAATACAGCAGCTTGTAGCTCTAAACGACGAATTGTAAGTTTCTTCAACGGTGCTACTCTAGATTTAGAAGCAATAAATCTAACATAGTATTCATCAGAGTTTGTTTTCCATCTCAGGTAAGCACAGGTAACAAGAGCTTCTTCAGATGCATCAGAAAATATGCAAAGTTCAGGTAAGTTAACAACTTCTGGAGGTGTCAAGCATCTTTCAAATTCTGTACCATTTAAACTGTTCATTTCAGCAAACAAATTTAACCAGGTAAATTTTCAGGTAAGGTTTGATCCCATTCTAAACCAAGTTGCCACAGTTTCTGCATTCCAAACTTCAGTCGTACCAAAAATGCAGCAGAAAAACCAATTGGATCAAATAATCTAGCAATTTTGACTCAAAATTCTTCTTTTTGTCAAACAAACAGGAACATTAGATTTATCAGCAAATTCAATCTTGACTTTATATGAAAAAGTGTCTCTAGTATTATTCCAGACGATTCCTAAAACCTTTTCTTCATTTATATCAGTCAACAGTTTCAAATCTTGATTTTCAGGAACAGGTAAGCAGTTTAATACTTTATTAGATATCCATCCTTTAAACCCACCATTAGCTAGTGCAGAGTCAATATCATTAGTCAGTTTACTAGCTTCATTTACAGTTTTAACTGAAGTACATATATCATCCATATAAACATCATTTTCTAATACTTTAGCAGCTTCAGGTAAATTAGATTTCACTTCTTCAGCAGTTTTCTTTAAAGCCATCTGAGCCATAGCAGGTGCTGGCTTATCACCAAATGTCAATACAGTTTTGACATATACATCAGGAGGTTTTTCAACATTGAGATTTCTCCACAGGAACCTATGAACATGTTAATCTTCTACAGGAATCAGTACTCTGTGATACATCTTGGAAATATCTCCACAAATAACCACTTCATTTTCTCTAAATCTCAGTATAACTCCAAATAAATTGTTTGGAAGATCGGGACCTTTATACAAGTAATCATTCAAACAGTGACCATTAAAACTAGCAGACGAGTTAAATACTATTCTTACAGGTGTACTTTTCTTCTCTGGTTTTATAACTTCATGACAGGAAATATAATGAACAGGGCCTTGGTGTTCAGTAATTTCTAAATCTGTAAGTTTTCTAGCGAATTTCATATCCACCATTTCTTCAATTTGATCATTATAAATTTCAGCATGAACAGGATATTTCAGCAGTCGACGTTCAGTTGATTCCAATTTATTTTCATCTTGTATTCTATAATCAGGAAGTAAATTAGGGTCTTTTCTCCAATGGTAAGGTATTAACCATTGATTACCAATCTTCTTAGATTCTTTAATTTCTATGGGACTGAGACCACTTTCTCGGCAGCAACAGAAACCTGAAGCAACACCCATTGCTTCTGTAGTCCAAAAGTCATCCATATCTACTGGACCCGACAATCCGACATGATACACAACGACGATCTTGAGTTTGATATCAAGACGTCACACCAAATATAATCCATCCCAAAGGTGAATGTCTTGCTATCAGATTGTTATATTGTCTTATATCCCCTGTATGCAAAAAAGCATGATCTATGCCTATGAGTAGATCAAGAGAACCGTAACCTCTACGTAAACATCTAACAGGTAAATTAAAAACTTTAGCTACTTCAAATAATCTAATTTCTTCAATATCTTCACCAATACACGGAATTCCTAAAGCAGTAATTTGAAAAGATCTACCAGTATCCACTGAAACTATTCTAAATTTATACAGCTTGGTTCTAAGTTCTTCAGAATCTCCACCAATTTTTGTCATCACAATACTTATATCATTGCCTTCTAATTGAAGTTGTTCGGCCATTGATTTTCTAATTAAGCTAAGCTGGGCACCAGAGTCTAGCAGGGTATTTCCTCTAACAGTATTACATTTACCATAGATATCAACAGTTATTACAGGTAAAATAGTTTCTCTACTACTCAGCATTGATGCAATTCCTACACTGTGGTGTTCAGGGCTTGTTGTTCTATTAGTAGGATGAAGTAATTTATGATGAAACGGTTTACAGTGACTCCCATTATAGAGTTCAGTACATTGGCGTCTTCTCGAACAGTTCATTACACCATGATTTTTACCAGCAATTTTCAAACAGGCATGATTATCTTTCGGAGTTTTAATACGATCAGATACAGATTTGGACAGGAAATTACGACATTGGTCTAACCAGTGATCATTGCTTTTACAAAGCCAACATTTATATCGTTTGGTTTCAGCAGGTCTATCATCAAAATTACCATGATGTATGTTGAATCTTGAGTGTTGACCAGATGATCTTAAAGGAGCAGTAGCATGAATACGCGACTTCATTTCAGCATTCATCCATTTTAATAAATCTTCTAAATCAGCAGTCTTTTTGTCTTTTTCAAGATATCTGAACCAAACTTTCTTGTCTTCCGTGTTCATCTTCTGTTCAATTAAAGCTAACATGTGATTATTGTTCATATCATTAGGTCTGCCTATTTCTTTAAGTGTGTTATAACTTCTTCGGACAACATGAACTAATTCGCAAAAACGTGCATCTTCACCATCTCTTATTAGACGGAAACGTGTTAAATCTTGGGTAATACAATCAGCAATAAATCTTGGATCTCCATACATTGAGTCTAGGTATTCAAAGGCAGCATCATAATCAGAATCCATACCACTTATCAATTCTAATGGCTTATTTACCTAACAGGAACGCAGTAAAGTTATAGCATCTCGTTTACTATATCTCGATGAAACCATATGCAAAAAGTCTGACTTAAAAGTATAATATTCACGAACATCTCCACTAAACTTTGGCATCTTCGGTTTCTCCATTTTAAATTGACAAACATCGGTAGATTGTGTAGGGTTTCCACTGACAGAATTACTATTCAGGCTAGTTGAAGCAGTAAGACCATTCATATTCTCGGTACTCAGAATATCAGCATCAAAATTATTCGGATTGACAGCAGTAGAATTTCTCCGATTAACAGCAGTAGAATTTCTCGGATTAACAGCAATAGAATTTTTCGGATCCACAGAAGTACTTGGATTCAGATTATCATCAGCAGAAGTACTTGGGTTGACAGCAGAAGTACTTGGATTATCGTCTATACTGTGGTTATCAGGATCAACAATATTATTTACATCAGAATTCCTCTCGTTATCAGTAGGTAATGAATTATCAATAGGGGATGAAGAGGGTGACAGGTTTATTTGATCAGGGCTCTGGGGAATTTCAACATTCTGGGTTTTGGCTTGGAACTCATCATCTAAGTGTTTAACATAATCTTTTGAATACATTTTTAATGTTGTGACCTGGTTTTGCACATCAGCCAACCAAATTTCTACAGTTTCAAATTCATCCTCGTCATCTATCATTTGAGTATATGAAGTATGTGTTTCCACCAGATTATCAAATGCAGTGTCTATTTTCAAAACTATTTCTTGGATTTCTATCTATTTGAATCAGTCTATCTAGTACTTTCCCTAGTCTGGTAATAGCAGCTTTACAGTTTCTTCTTTTCTTCTTGGCTTCTAAGAGCAAGATTTGCAGTTCCTCTGGTGGCATGTTTAATTTTCAAAAATTCAATCAGTCAAAATTTCACAAGATATGTGACAGATAAACAAAAGTTCAGTAAATGTGACCAGCTTCACAGCAAATACACAATACGTGCCATTGCTGACTGAATTTTCTCAAATTTCACAAGGATACAGATTAGCAAAAATAATACAGTTTACCAGTCATTAAACACAGTAGATTAACATCCAAATTTCTTCAGCATTTCTCCAATCCCGTGGTTAGCAAAGTACAGGTTCACTTCTGTCAGAATTCAAATTTTTGTGGATCGTGAGAGTGCATGAAGCCGTCTGGTCTAAGCCCCTGGTAATTGGCCAATTCTATAGAGTTAATAAAACGGATTGATAATACAGTTGGTTCTTTTCTTAGTTTAAATTACAGAGCATCTAATTCACTACATTCATTCTATTTTACTTTAAGGTTTTATACTTTTTACTTTTTACTTTTTACTATTTGAATTTATGACAACACTGGAGGCCATGACCGGAAGCATGGTTATTACAAAAAGTACGGATCAGATTAAACTTATAAAAATATAAGGAAACATTTTGGAACATGGACAGTCAATTCAATAGTCTGTTGCAGAACAATAACTAAATTCATTTACATAAAAAAAATTTAGTGGTCTGAGTCTAAAATTAAAGAAATATATTATTTTCATCAGTAAGACCCCTTGAACATTTAAAATTTATCCATCAAGTCACTATTTTTGTGTTGCAGCCCCGAAAACAAGTTTTTCGGGCAAAGATCTTGTAACTAGGTTAAAAAATTTTAACCTAACATCCTTTGAACCCATATCGAACTTATTTCCATTGTTATGTATAGGTGCAATTCGTTATTAATACGCTAAGAATACGCAAAAAGCTGACTAGATTGTCATGGTGTCAGGACTTTTTAAAGCAGTATACAATAATACTTTGATATTTGATGTCCAACGTCGGCTGTATTATGTATGATACAATACGATGCAATGCGTCTCACGCAGGCGGCCATTTAGTGTTAGGATGTATTGAGACGAGTCTCAATGAAAGCACTGGCCTAGGTCACAGAGCAATAGATAAGTCTATTAATTATGTGAAAATTAGTTAGTCATTAGTATGATTTTAGTTGAAAAGACACACACACAAACATACACTGCATGTTATATAATATACTGTATATAGCCATGGCACCAGTCATAAAATGAGATAAGTGATTAGCTAATATGTGTTACAAAACATATAATAACGTAACGGCTTTGAAGGTTTGAAGAGTATTTATTCGGGAAGGACAACATCAGGAACAATAAACATCAATACAGGTAAAACACAGGAACATCAATACGGGTAAAATACAGGAACATTAATACAAATAAAATACAGGAACATCTAAACTCTATTATCCCGAGACCAAAAGGGCAGGGGCCCAGTGGGAGCGGGAAACTGGAATCTCAAAATTACATGAGGTATTATTGTTAAAAGGCTACGTAGTAAACTTCGTACCTATAGGAAATACAAAACTGAAATTGAGCTCGAACCTTATGTGACAGACAACCGGATACACAGATACCACAGACGACTGATAAGTCAATTAAGAAGTGGGTCTTTCCCAATTGCTATAGAAACAGGCCGTTACTCTAAACCACCGGTACCCCTAGAAAACAGAATATGTATTTATTGTAACTGTGAAGATGAGTATCATGTAATTATGGAATGTAATGTATATAATAAGCTAAGGTCTTCGATTTTAAATGCATGTTGTAAAATTGAACCTAACTTTCTTTAAATGCCTAATATACAAAAGTTTTATTTTATTATGACGAACCATTTTATGCAAAATCACTTGGGTAAATTTTTAGATAATATATACAAAACCAGGAAAAGACTTACTGCCATTATGTAGTTGTTTAAGTTTTGAAATAATCATAATGTTATTGATTATGTATCGTGCTACCTTGTGAGTGTGTGGGTGCGTGCGTGTGTGTGCATTGTATATGAATACTTGATTTTATGTTAACTTTTTGAATTAATTGTTGGAACTATTAGTGTTATAAATGTGATTTACTAATTTGTTTATTTTACGTTTTAACTGTTCAGTGTCTCATAGGTCAATAGTGGCCGGAAATCTTATTATTTTGTTTTATATGTTTTATGTATAGCTGATTTGTGATACTTATCTAATAAACTAATTTATTATTATTGCAGGGCGTTCTTCTTTGTTTTCGTTCTGGCTATTTTTTTTTCTTCACTCCAGGAGCTCAGCTCTCGGAAACAGCAACAGGTATGGAAAAACGGATTTCGCCACACTTTCTAACTCGTGGCTAACTGCGTACTGAATGTAAAACGAAAATTTTCTGAGCAACATGAAGCGACGTTGGCAACAAACAGAAAGTGGGCTCTAGTGGGCGTAATTATCGACCGATTTTGCTCGGGGTTCCTTTATTCTACTTCTTATAACAATGGACACATGATGGCGGTTGAAAAAAAATGATTTTCGCAAATTAGTTCGATACTTTTTTTTGTCGAAATTAATCGAAATATGCTATTTCGGTTGCTATTTGTCGGACAGATTTAAAACTTATACAGTGTAGACAGCCAGCATGGTGGAATAAAAAAACGCATTCAAAATTTTTGCATCACTTCCGGTTTCGAAGTTAGTACTTCCGGTGACGTCACTTCCAGTGGAATTGAGTTATGCCCAAACTAACATATGCATGATATTAGTGTCATTAATACAAACCTATTAAACTAAAAAAATACTCACCGGAAGTAATAATTAGGCCGCCATTTTGGTTTGCCTCATTTTGCGAAAATTCCTATTCAGAAGCCATTTTTTATCCGATTTGTGTCATTTTTGTGTCAAACGATACTATAAATGTTTGTCTATAATTTCTGGGGAAGCAAAATTTTGATTTTCGGTTTTGCCTTTTTTATACGAACGGATGTTTTTTTTCAAAGTTTGAAGGCGTATACATCTCGTGATCTTGACCTTTGATGACCTTCATATTAACTGTGATGATAATTTGTGACCTTATCTATCTGATGACCTTTTGACCTTTGGGGTCAGACAACTCTTTCCCATTTTATAGGGGTCTAAATATGGACCATTTTGAGCCTTCAAAGTGCTATAACTCGGTCCCTAATAGAGATATGGCAATAATTCTTTCGATTTCGTAATGTAGAGATTCTGAGCTTTCCATAGATATAATACCTGCATACCTTACATGAAAATTCAAACTTTATTCACTTAACATGGGGCTATTATTAGATAAATCGGCTAATAAGATTAACCTGGCTGTCAACCCCAATAGAAATCAAACTTTTAGTTGTTTAAAGATACCCTCCGTATTATATTTGTTTTATATGACTGTTTTATGTCCAGTTGTGGTATATAAATAAGCTCTCGGATGGATTGAACCATGCTATACTGTAAGTTGAGCTTACAGAAGCACATTAAAGGTATAGCCCCACTTAATTTACCAACTTTCTTATTTCTTATCCGATTTTCATCAAACTTGGAATGTATGTGTATAATCAAATTCTAAATTTGATGGAATTATCGAATTTGCGCAGTGCGCATGCACATTACCAACTTTCTTATTTTTTATCCGATTTTCATCAAACTTGGTATGTATGTGTATAGTCCAATTCTAAATTTGATGGAAATATTGAATTTTTGTTGTGCGCATGCGCATTACCAACTTTCTTATTTTTTATCCGATTTTCACCAAACTTAGTATGTATGTGTATAACCCAATTCTAAATTTAATGGAAATATTGAATTTTTTGTTGTGCGCATGCGCATTGCCAACTTTGTTATTTCCTATCCGAATTTCACCAAACTTGGTGTGTATGTGTATAATCCAATTCTAAATTTGATGAAAATATTGAATTTTTGTTGTGCGCATGCGCATTACCAACTTTCTGATTTCTTTTCCGAATTTAATCAAACTTGCTATGTATGTGTATATTCCAACTATAAATTCAATGGAAATAACCAATATTTGTTGTGCACATGCGCATTACTAATTTTCTTATTTCTTATCCGAATTTAATCAAACTTGGTCTTTATCAATTGACAAACATTCTTTTATTCCCAGTCAATATACATTAAACTCTTTTGGATATTTGAATTTAGAGATGCAGAAAAGTATTTACATCAATGTAATTGCAATAGACTATCTTCGTATGTACCTGAATGTCGTAACACGCCCTGCATCAGTACTGTTATTAGAACAGTTCTAGTTATTATTATTATTATCTCATTGCTAATTAACCATAATAATACATTGTGTGTAACATATGTGACTAACGATGTATTTTGTTCCTTTTGAGTTGTTTTGGCATCTACAAATTATATACAGTTAGTATACAGAATTAATTATAGTTATCAAAGCGTATATTCTTGAAATGCGTATTCTTAAATAATGTAAATTTATTCTCTACTATAAAATGTTTTATGAGTTATTCGATTAAAATGAAAATTGAAATATATGATATTATTTCGTTTAAACAAATTAATTATTTCGTTAAAACGAATTGTTATTTCGTTAAAACGAAATATTTTATTAAAGTATGGAAAATTGCGCCTAAGGGGCTCCGTAGAAAACTAACTTCTTTAACTCAAACATATTTTCAGGTGCTGATATCAATACATATTTGTACTTGTTTCTCAGCGATGAGGGAAATAGCTGACGAGGAGTTGAAAAATAGTCGTCATCAAAACTACATAATAAAACCACATATAAGCAGTACAGACATAAAGGAACTAAGATTTGGGAATTGTTGTTGTTTTTTTGCAAATCTCTTCTATTGCATTAAGAATGTTTTACCCCATTCCTTTTTTTTAAAATTAAAATTCACCGAATAAATGAAACGTTTAAATACTTTGGTAGAAATGACAAATGTTTTTATGGTCCTATCACACCTTGACGATTTAGCCAACATAAGACATTTCCGATGGTAAACGCTGAACAATTGTCTTGGGTTTTCTCTTAATATTTTGGCGTATACCTAGCGTATCCACAACGTTTTGTACGCATATACTACTTACATTGGAGGGCAGAATTGTTTTCCGATTAGATAAACTTTTGATGGATTTGGATTTAAGACTCTAAATAACAGTCTCGTACGTTATGTGCGTTGTGCGTATCGAGGATATGACTCTACAATTGATTCTACAACAGACGTAATTGGTTTTTTTTTTCTCTTATTTTCAATTTGTGGACAGAACCATGTTCCCAATTTGAACTGTAAAATGTTATGGTAAAATATTGACACCGCTTTATGACAACACTGCGTTAAACAATATTTGTATGATATCCTTCAATGGTCTGCTAGAAAAAAAGATTATGAAGAGTAATTAAGGCAACATCTGTTCTGTAGTCTTCTTATGATATATAAATTTGAGATCAAATTTAGCATTCAACATTGAATCAACAAGTCTAATATAAGATCAACGAGTCGTGATATTGCTAACGTTAGAACCATGAATAACCTCTTATGTTCCATATTACTGTTCTCTGTGACAACATTGATTCTTACTGATGCCGGTAAATATCTTTTACTTGTTATCTTATAGTTGTAAAATTTGATGTATTCTGCTTTGAATTTTAAAGGAATTGTAAAGGTTTAAAAAAAAAACATTTCACGTATATGGACACTGATAGCATCGATTTTTGCCATTCCATTTCCAACAAGACATCTGTGGTAAATGCAATTCCATTTACATTATTAGTTTTATGACGTCACTGTTGGGTCCTTTGAATTCCAATATTTTTAAATAAAGTAGGCTATCAAAGATATAGTCATAAAATTTTAACCTCATAATTATATCTATACAATTATATAGATGTATTATACATCATTTCACGAAATATTAACTTCGCAATAAGAAACACTTGGAAATGGCAGTATTTATAAAATTCCTTGTCAAAAATTTCAATGCCGAAAGTATTTTCGTAATTTCACTTAATTTGATTTAATCTTTAATTGAACAAATCGGCTATGTAACCACCATTTTCAGTACAAACTGCTCATTGATGCCAGAATTATCTTCTGGATGAATTTCATTCCATTAGTCCATAATTCTGTCGTACAGTTACTGTTTCTTGAACAAATTTGTTTATCCAATGTAAATTCTAGATTTGAGTAGTCATGCGCACTGTAATCTTTTGGAATGCAATCGAGAGATGGGTGAGGGTTGGTCATTCATCTTTTTATATGAAATACCACAAATTTCCTAATCCGCAGGCAATTTATGTTTAAGAAAAAGTGTTTATGTGCGTGGATTATGCTCACATTAATCCTTGCACAGACGAAAGGAACTAGCTAAGCTGCCTGCCTCGAGAGGCTGCCAGCTGACCAACATTCTCACTACTTTTTACACCGCAGACGAGAGCTCTCGCTCGGAATTCCTCTCAAAGACACGATTGACTTTAATTTGGCAGATTCTCATACTCTATATTATCCTTCAAAATTCAGTACACTTCTCAAAATTAAAAAAGAACAAAATTTTAACCCTATAAATTTGAAAAATGTAACAAATCTATCAAGTACTGCTTTCTATCCACACTGTTTAGCCAAAAACTGTCACTCTGCAACAACTTAGTTGAATGTTTCATCACCATCTTTAATGATTAACTATACGTATAAAAACCCTAAAAATACAATATACACAATTAATATAACATAACCTTATGCACAATTGAAACAAATACTGGCTCCTGGTATTATACAAAATATAATACATACGATGATCCAAATAAATATTGCGTCTACACAAATGGATACAGGACTGTTGTGTGATAGAAATTATTACAAATGCTCAGTATAGTTGATACTATATATATTGGATACAAATAAACTATGCTACTTCAGTTAATAAGCTTACCCTAGGGGTTTCCAACCACTCGGAAGGCAAGTGTTCTGTATAATAATTAATCTATCCTTAATCTACACTGTTAAAAGTATTTCGATATTTTTACTACAAACTGGCTGGCAGAAAGTTGCCAGTATATTGACTGTAATTTAACATTGAATGTAATTTCACTCTTCACAAAGTATTTTTACTACAAGAAAAATACATAGGATGTGATTTAACTAAATAGTAAATTGAGTGTTATGTTAAATTACTATGTATGTAAATTCACTAGCAAAGTAAATCAACTTTCTGCCAGTCAGTTTATAGTAAAAAAAAAAAAAAAAAATAGTTCAGTGCCATTTTGATAAATGTAACGATATTTAATCCTTATATGCACTAAAAACATTCTTTTGCATTAATTCACTCACAATCTTGCCCAACTAAATAATGAAAGTACTACTCTTATTAAAACAAAACTTTATTAATGCAAGAAAAACACATAAAAAAAAGATACTATAGTTACAAAACTCTAGTTAAAAACCAGACTATACATGACAAATAGATAAATAATTACAAATATATAGTCTATGAAATGAAGACTAAATATAACTTAAATGAAGAATGCCTTAGTTAAAACTATTACTTGATTTTATGATTTACTAATTACTGAACACCTGACTTATCAAACATTGTCACTTATTAGCTTTAATTGGTTTGAGTGTTACATTTCCTCAGATAAGACAGATAAAACTGAACTTGTAAACGATGAATTAATTTACCGATTTTATAAATATTTCAAACGTCTTTAACTTCTCTTCTTTCTTCTTTCAGCATCATATTCAGGTAAGACGTTCTATTTTAGGCACGTGTTTCTCTTATCTACAGATATTAGATAATTATTGATTATTTTTTTTTCTCATCTAGTTTCCTTTTTGATTTGTGTTTTCTTATATCTACAGATAGTAGATTGTTCTTTTTCTTTCCCTTTTCTATCATTTTGATTTTATTTCTTGTTTATATATGAATATTATTATCTACAGATAGTAGATTTATGTTTAACCTTATATTATATACCCATTTCTGTTTGATATTTTGAATTTTAGACATACAAAGTTTAGAAACCCTTAAAGGGACAAATTTATCAGTCGTTTAACCAATCATACCACAGTCTCAGAAACGGGAAATATTTAGCTTAGCTAATCAGTCATAGTGTTCACAGCTCGCCGTCGAAATTGGAGCCTTCAAATCCATAAATGTCGAGAATTACCCGCGTTTACTCGTCATTTCATAAGACTCCTAGAAATTCCTAGTTTGAGGTATTTTTTGAAGGAATTATGCAATTATTGTACAATTTCTAGTACTTCTGAAGATTATATATAAATATATTCAAGACCCAAATCAAAACTCGAAAATGACGAATCTGTCCCTTTAAGTCAAGTTTTGAAGAACTGATTGAAATCTAAGTTTTTAATGTTAGACGATGCTGATTTAGATCCACTGCGATCGCTAGTTTCAGCTTGGATTACTAGTACGACTTTAAATAGCCTTATTACATCTTCTGCTATCTTTGGTTGTGAATAGCAATTCAACAATATCAAAAATATAAAATAATCAATAATATTGTCCAGGTGTCGTTTTTCGAGTCAAAAATATATAATGAAAATAAATGATTGAATTTACAGTTTGCTCAGATTATCCAGATATTAAAAACGCTAGTTTTTATGAAGATAGTGGAAAAGTCGCAATGACTTGCGATGAATACTTCGAAATGAAACAAGTGATCGGATGTATAGATGGAGAATGGAAATATAAGAAACCTTTTTGCAGACTTCTAGGTATGATACTGGCGTGTCGAATCGCCCATAAATTGTGTTCGTTTTGTTTATTTTTTTAATTTATTTATTTCTTGAACGTACACTATAACTCATTTAATACATATGTCACTTTTTAATTGGAATAAAAAACTTTAATTTTCACCCAGATGATAATTATTTTCACGAAGGTGATAATCATTTTAACCTAGGTGAAAATTAGGTGATAATTCCTGTAATTTTTTATTCAAAACTTTAATTTTCTCCTAGGTTATAATAAATTTATAAGATTATATCAGACTGACAATAAAAATAAAGCTCTGTCATCAAAAGATTTGCATAAAAGTGGCAGTTTGTAGTAACTGTGTCAAATTTGATTTTTACGTAATGGCCCAAGACTTCAATAGTGAAATTTGGAATATCTCATGATGTAGTAATTCTAGACGATTTAAAATTGGAGCATAGTTTGATATTATACACATGATAACAGATATAAAAAAAATATTGGGTTGGCGGGAAACATCGGGTTCTATTTACATTTATATTTATTATTCGCAGTTTGTAAACTTGCAAATTATGCATTTACCAACAATAAATTCTGTCTGCATGGACACAGGTTATTTCTCTTGACTTTGCTACCTACGAAAAAGTCGGAGTGCCCCTTTAAAATATTTATCCATGTCTAAGCAACCAACCTCTTTAAATTTGCCTCATGTCAATAAATAGGCTATAATTCGATGTCAAATTGATAAGATCGGATGCGGACTGCCTATAAGAACCGTTCTGACTGTTTTTTGAATGCATTGTATTTCCGATTCCAGTCACGTGCCAGAAGTGTTCTAACGCGATCATCTATAATACCTAGTGTTTTTATGAATGAAAATAAAAAAAAAACATTGTATTAGTACAATTATTCATATTCATCATTTCTAGACCTCAAAAATATTTTCTCTCGACTTGATGCAGTTCCTATCGACACTCTTACTGGACTCTATTCATTGTTCAGTCGTCTCATTTACACTTCATCTAAATAAAAAGCAAGGCCTATTAATATATTTACTTTGATTTCAGCAAAAGATTGTGGACCGGTACCACCAGGTAATTCATCTACCGGAACTGTGGCAAATGGTACAACATACCCAAGTGAAGCGGACTACACTTGTGATGAAGGATTTGAAATAGCAAGTGGTAATTCCAAGATTGCATGTTTATTGTCAGGCCAATGGGATGTTGATAATATACTAGTTTGTCGAGGTAAGTAAATATCTTATATCTAGTTTCCTTGTTCTAAAATTAGCGGAAAGATGCTTTAAATTAATCTTTCAGATATGTTAAAGATGGGTTTCCTTATTTTTTTAGTGTCACAAAAGCAAACTATTTGATTAATTGGTGTTTCTAATGAATTATCATGAATTCTTAATCATATCATTATGTTCTTATTGCATATAATTTAAAGTTTTAACCAATCATAAATGTCTATGTATATACAGTCTGGATAAACAAAAAAAAAAAATACTTTTTTAATCGGTCACTTATTGGAATTCTGCTTGTTATTCTCTTCTAATTTAGCTAATTATGAATTAATCATGGACATGTGAGACAAACTGGTATTTTTCCAAGTCATTAGAACACCACTACTTTCTATTCATATAAGTGTTAGCATTTTCATTTTCATAAATGAAAATAAGGGAACCCATCCTTAAGGGGTATATTTATCTTCAAGTCTACAAATATAAGATCGGATGCGCACTGCCTATAATAAGTTCCGTTCTGACTGTTCTTTGAATGCACTGTTTCTCCGATTCCAGTCACGCTATCCATAAAAAACTACACATGTTACAAGACGTGTTCTGACGCGGTAAATAAACAGGAAATAAAATTGGATTCGTAAAATTCATATTTGCCATTTCTAAATCTCAAAAATATTTTCTCTCGACTTGATAGCATTTCCTATCGATACTCTTACTGGATTCTATTTATTATTCAGTCGTCTCATTTACACTGTATATAAAAAGCAAGGCCTATTAATATATTTACTTCCATTTCAGGGAAAGATTGTGGACAGGTACCATCAGGTGATTCATCTACAGGAACTGCTGCAAGTGGTACAACATACCCAAATGAAGCAGACTACACTTGTGATGAAGGACATGAAATAGCAAGTGGGAGATCCAAGATTGCATGTTTAGCGACAGGCCAATGGGATGTTGGTAATATACTAGTTTGTCGAGGTAAGTATTTCGTAAGATTCATAGTTCATTTTTATCCTTTGAGCAGATGAATCTATTTTGTTATAAACAAAAACAAAAGAAGGAAAGAATCTCATTCATGCCAGCGTGTCAAAATTTGCTTGATATTTGAACAAGATAATTTTTTGGGGGGTTAGTGTCTTATGATTAGTATCTTAAAGATACTACTATTCCAGAAATCATTTTGAATAATTGTAAATGCCCCCACAGAATATTAGCAATTGTTATCAAATACGGGTCGTTAATATTGCGCCATCACAAATTGAAATTAAAATATAGCAATATTGGCCTCTACTTATCGAAAATATTATAATGTAAACATTAAATGTGCTGCTTTAAATGAATGTCTTTTAATGAACATAAAATTTAAGAATTATTAAACTTGGCTAATAAGAGCATATATTCATCAGTAGATATACCTGGTGTCATAAATAACATAACAGAATCCTTATATAATCCAATAAATCTAAACAAACTTAGTAATTATCCATAAAAATGCATTTAACTATTGAAAAGCGCTTAATAATGATATTAAAATTAATTTTCCAGATTTTATAGGGATTCTGTTGTAATTTGTCTTTATTTCTTATGTTAAGAAATTTTAAGTTTGGTAAAGGGGTGGTAAATCCACTGCCTATGTAGTGTTAAAGTTTAATCTGCCTTTACATGCTTGGCCGTGAAGTTAGAACTGATATTTCCAAATACAGAAGAAACGTCTTATTAAATTCTGCTGGTACCGACTCATCACGCTCATCTGAAAGCAAAGACTGTTCATTTTTCGATATACGATTCCGCTACAACCGTATTTGCATACCTCTGTATGTATATTAATAATATATTCTGATATCAGTATTGATGTTTGTATATTTCAGACTGTGTTGACCCACTAGATGTAGTTTTGGTTGTGGATGGATCAGGATCAGTTGGTTCTTATCATTTCAACAAAATGATAAACATATTAGCAGATGTCACTTTATCAGGTTTCTATGTTGATTCGGCTAGAGTTCACGTGGGGCTTATAGTTTATAGTACGGATATAACGGACATAATTAATATGTCAAGTGACCCCAATCAATTACAAAAAGATATCCGTGCTCTTAAACATCCATGGGGCAATACCCATACTGGAAAGGGTATTGCGGCAGCCCAGCAAATGCTATTGACACAAGGTCGACCTGGAGTCCCGAATGTTATGATAGTCCTAACTGATGGAAAGTCAACTGAAAATCCTCAATCCGATGCCACTGCTGCCAAGGACTCCGGGACTGTTATTTATTCCATAGGAATTGGCTCGGGTGCCTATATGGCAGAGTTGAGACAAATTGCCTCCGATTCAGATAAAGTGCAGAAGGCAAACGACTTCGGAGATATTCGGAGAACACTTTCTAATCTCTGTTAATGGCTTATAATCAGTAGATGTATTGATGGCAATAAAATATTATACAGTTTTGCCGAATTTTCATGCTTTAAGCACCATTTGGCTTAGGGGAAATTTAAGTGTACACCGTGCCTTACTTTTCCGTCATTTTGAATCTTTAATTGAAAAAGCAGTAAATCTGATACTTTTACCTGATTTTGCCGTATTCATTCCACGATCGTTCTCTTTCGGTAAGACTAGAGTTTTTTTTTTGTCTTGTTAACGATTTTTATTGGAAAACTAAGCATGTATACCTCTTCAAAACCTTGAATGCCCCGATTCAACAGCCAGGGTGGTACATTTTCGATTTAGAAATTTTGTATTAGCAGCCAAAATATCTTCTGGACTTGTTTTATTCAAGGTTTTAAAGAGCGTTGGAGTAAATCGAAATGTTATTGAAATTAAATTTCAATTACGTTTATTTTTTTCTGATATTTTTTTGTATCCATTGTAATCTAAGCTTTCAAACGCAACCTCGTTTTCTTTTTCTGATATTTTTAGTCTTTAGTAGTCTAAATAGATTTCAACCAATCAAAGCACGCATGTAAAACCTAAGAATCAAAATAAGATATTGTGGTATATTGAAACTTAAAGTAGAGCAATATGACAGCCTCTGTGGGTTACGCTATCGTCGTCTTATCTGTGTGAGTCAGTCAAATTTATTCAACTTTACCTTCAATCAAAAGCCGCAGTATACGAGTCAATATAGTATTAACTATAGAACCGTGGAACCTACTACTTTGTTGAGACGTCGCATCTATATCAGCAATTGCAAGTAGGCTATAAAATAATTTCAGATTGACGTATTTCGTATATTGCTTTTGTCACCCATAACTGAGTTCCCACAACATATCGAACGCTCTTGCAAAATACCCCTTCTCCACACACACAGCACTGTATACCCTCAATATACTTAATAAATACAAACAAAATGTATAATAGATTAAATATTATATTCATTGATATAAGCGTAAGTGAACTTGCAACTGGAAAAAAAACTTTTCTTACCCACTAATACCAATATTCATGCATAAAATGGGAAATAAATTTCTGTTCAATTAACAACGACAACGACAAACAATTATATTTTTCATTACCTCGTAAAAATGGGGGAACAAAAGAAAATATTGTGAGATACATTCTGTGTAAAATATCATCATTTATTACACAGATACAAACAAATATTTAAATGCCGACATTTTTTATGTAGGAACAAAGGTATCGTTTATCTGACATAAACTCACGAACGGTCTTGGTCGGTGATTCTTGTCACCGAGTAAAGTCAAGAGTTTCACACCTCATCAGGGGCATAGCATACGAGGAGACAAAAACATCTAGACGGTTTTTTCCATCATCTCGATAATCACGTGCAGAGCATGCAATTGAAAGGAAAATGAATTTGATTGGATGGTGACAGTCTGTCTTGCAGAAGATAAAACTATCGGCGACAAGCATAAAACTTGTTTAATTCCGGTCGGAATGCTATAATTTTGTCGTGAAAGCACGGGCACGCACGAGATTTTTCTTAAGATTCCAGTCGGCGAAGAGTTACCGAAGAATTCAGTTCGTGTGCCCACACTTAATCCCCGACGTTAACTTCTAAATATTCTGCCGTGTCAGGATTACTCGTCGCAGTATTTCTGTAAAGATTGTGGTACATATAATTAGAATTGATTGATTCATTCAACATACCGAAAATATAGTCAAAATCTTAGTGCGATTTTCCCGGTCTACTCTACAGGACCTGAATCTATTATATTCAGCCTGTAGAGTTGGAATAGGTCAGGTGCCCAGCAAGGTGTATGATTTGAGATTATTGTACGAACAACTTTTTGATTGGGTATAGATCAAGCGAGTTTTCTTGTCAATTCAACGCTTTTATCATGATGAATTTGAAACATTTGTTACAATCTTTGACGTATATGGAACAAACACCCCTGATCGCCCATTCTCTCAATTACATTCTCTGGAATCGCTGCCTTTTTTATGGTATCACTTCGATGTATTGGGCAAATCGGATCATTCCGACAATTCTATGAAGAGATCCAACGAAACGGTAACTGAAGCAACGCCTTCAAATCTTCTTTTCGTGGAATTTCACAGTTTGGTCGCTATGACCTAAGCTCAGTTTCTCACCAGAAAAGGGGACAGGTCTTATCTCGCCTTGACCTATGTGGGGATTGAACACTGAACCTTAAGGTTAGGGAGCAAGTGTCCAACTCACTGAGTGAACACATCCCCACCCCTCTTCCCTGAGTACAAATGTAAGACGAACTGTTTAAAGTGTATTTATTTAGACATCAAAATGATTATATTGTTACAAGAAGCAACAACACAGATCACAACTTGTTGATTATAATAATAATATTAACAATCAATTAAATATAATAAATAAACTTCATTGTTTTATAGTACTGTACTCATGATAAAGCTAACAAATATCAACAAAAACAACAGTATTGATAACAAAAACAATCTTGAGTTTTTGATTTTAACTTAGGTGCTCATAAAAATCTTTCATCAATAATGAATTCTTGTGCACTTTATTTGACTGTAACCGAAGCTTTGTGGCTGGTTAAGCTCTCTCGGTTCTTGACGGAAATTTTGAATGAGATGATCTTTTGATTTAAAATACCTTTCTGCTCCCTCATAAGGTTTTCTTGAAGGTATACTAAAAAGGATGAACAAAAAAATTGAAAATTTTAAACTTTGTTAAATGAGTCTTTGTTTGTTAGTGGACTTACCTAGTGTCATAACTATACAACAGAATCCCTCTATAAGTATAATCAAATAAATTCATAAAACTAAGTAATAATCCATTAAACTTAGTAATTTAGAAACATGCTTAGAAATGTGTTTTAATAATTATTTAGTTTAATGGATATATCATCTTATACAGGGATTCTATTCTTTAGCCATGACACCTGATAAATCCAACTAGTGAATATATACACTTGATAACCAAGTTTGAGATTTTCAATTTCATGTTAATTCTAAGAAAAGTATAACTTAAACAGTGTAAGTGTAGTATAAGTATAGCTTTACGGTCTAAAAGCATAACTTTAACATTCCAAAAGAATAACAACCAAAAGATTTAGTCAAAAAAAAAAAGTCTATGTTTATATTATGATCAATTAAACTTTAGGTTTCCAAAACACTCTACAAAAGAAATTAGGTTTATATTGTGTTGCATAATATTCTAAACCTAATAGCACTTAATGATTACATAAACTAAACAACACATAGCACAACAAAGGCCTTACATTCATAAGTAGTTTTTATTAAGGTGTACCATGGCCTTACACATTTTTGGATTATATTATTAACATACAAAGATTACAACAAATTTTCTGGTTAAGAATTTAGACCAAGATCGATAAATACGATTTCAATATGGAAATAAGACATTTGTGCAAATTTTTAAAAATTAATTATTTACGAAACATGGAATTCAATTAATTCTCACAAAATCTTTAAATCACAAATGTTTTTGTAAAATTACAAGTACTGTTATGATATTCAGTACCTAGTAACATATAGTTAATGACTGATTTGAATTTATTATTTAATCAAATGATGAAATTAATCATGAATATTTGTTCTTTGAAATATTAATGAAAACCATGATTTAATCAATTTTCACAAAAAATTTACAGCAACCAACTTTTAGTACTAAATGATTACTTATGTTAAATGATTACATCATGACATTCAATATAACAAAATCGAAAAAGGAATTCTTATCATAATTAGATGCCATAGTTAATTTTGAATAATTTCATTTTCAAATTCCTAAAACATAACTCATGATCTGATGATCCAAACAGTGGTGGTGCCAGTTGGGGTACAGGAGGGGGGAGGAGGGAGAGAGCCTTGCCCCTAATTGTACCCCTAATTTTCTTTTAACAAATTTACAAATATGATTTTTGTACATTCATTTTTCCCCCCAAAATATGTGTCAGAACAAAACAAATGTTCTTGGGAGAACCCTCTCAGACACTACTATGACTTATGAATTCAACCTCGACAGTTGTCCCCAAATAAGTGTGTGCCCCCATTTTTACCCCCAGTTTTGTTAGGCCACCAAAGATTCATAATAAGAGTGATCATTTTAAGTACTCTAGCCTTTACTCTCTCTTTCTTAATTTTCATATTCAGTTAAAAGCCAAAAAAAAAAATTTTTGATTTCTTCTTTGATTATAAGGTTGTCTGCATACTGGCTTATCAGTGGATAGAATTCTATGTCCACTTTTTCCTTGTGTCACTTTTTGATATGGTTACTATAGCATATATGTATTTCGAATGATACAGACATACCAAAACTACATTAAAAAAAATCATCAGCATGCTTTGGTTATATATACAAATACTACAGAATATTCTTTGATTTTAAATTGTGTAGCCTGAAAGACTAAAACTACATGGCATTCAAACAAATTCCATACCAGAATTTATTCAAACATAGATGTAGTAAAAGTACTGGCAGAGTTCTATGACTAGGATTTGTGACCTCGGCCAGTGCTTTACATAAGAGTTCCTATGAACTTCCTCAATCTTAATACTAGGATGTCCAGTATAGAATCCAATCTAAACAATGACTATTTTCTGCTCTTTAGGTTATACCAATTATACCATACACCACATAGCAAGAATACATCATATCTTACATATAGCTATAATAGCTATGTAATATCTATCTGACATAATACTATTAAACTTCAAATGGTTTAGTTTTGGGACCACAATAATAACCATCAGGTGTTTATAGGTAATCTTCTAAGGCCACACTACACATGCATGCATTTTTTTTCTAAAATGGGACATCAAGTTATATAAGTCTTATATTTCACTATCTGGATATCATATTAAAGGCAGAATGCCTCTTAAAATGGAAATAAAATTTTAAGTTTCAAACTTGGTTAACAAGTGTATATATTCATCAGTTGAACTTACCAGGTGTCATGACTTAAGAATAGAATCTCTATATAAAACGATATATCCATTAAACTAAATAATAACTGAAAAACGCTTCTAAGCATGTTTCAAAATTACTTGACGAATTATTACTAAGTTTAATGAATTTATTGGATTATAGAGGGATTCTGTTGTATAATTATTAAATCAAGTAAGTCCGCTGATGAACAAAGATTCATTTTGGCCAAGTTTAAAATTTTCAATTTTTTGGTCATCCTAAGAGGTAGTATGCCTTTAATGATAGATGTTTTTTTGTAAATGAAATTTATACAGTTCATGGGAAATACGTTATTGCTCAAGTTATTTTGAAGCTCTCTAATACACCCACTTAAAATAACAGCTAGTTTGATCATTTACTGTAATAATATACTCTGGGTCAGAATTCGATCATTATACCAAAATATGAAATGTGCTGCAGGCAAGACTTAAGTACTACACCTTCTAAACAACAACGACAAATAATAAACTCATATTGAGTATAATATCAAAACTCATATGATAATGAGATATTAAGCTTAAAAATCAACCTTTGATTATCTATATTAGCCTGTCTTTTTTTGGATATGGCATTGGAAACATACATTTGATAACAAGTAAATATTTTTTGATCTAAAGCTTTGAACATAATGCAATCAGCTTTGGCTAAATTTTCTATAATAAATGAACATTTATTCATTAAGAATGTGAGATCATATTATTAAAAACTTTTTTGGTTAAGAAGTGGGCTTGATCACTTAGCTCCATCCCCACCTAGGCCTGTATCTACAAAGGGGGAGGGGGGTGGGAATCAATGCCCCTCCAAACAATCAAGTCTGCTACAGCTTCTATACCGACTTCTAAACCAGAAATCTATTATATTATTTGTTTTTTCTTTGTGAGCTTATATTAAATTGCGCATTTTCTTAAAGAAAATGTATCCTGTATAAGGACAATGTCAAATGACAATTGGGTTAAAACTTGTTCCTGAGGCCAGTTCAGTTTAGAAAGATGTTCAAGTGATCTGATAGATCAATCAAATAAATTGACTTTAAAGAGGCAGTAAAATTGTCATTATCAAAATTGTCAAAAATTATACCTGAAAATATCTATCAAATATGCTATTGCTCAAACTGGATTTGTTAAAGAGTTTTCTTAAAAATAGAGTTTCTACTAGTTTTGGTGTTGGGCCTTGAATTGAAACCTTTAGAAAACAACAATTTGCAACAGTAGTTTAAAATTTTAAATAAACCTTTTAAGTAACTTTGTCGTTAAAAACCCCCATATTATCACGAAAATTGCTTCTTTCTTGCCAACATTAATTTTATGAAAGGTGACCAAAAATTGTTATCTTTTTGTACAAAGGTAACATGCTCAGATAATGTTTAGTCATTCAAGTGTAGGCATTTATATACATTTGTAAATGTCTTTGATATATAATGATAAATACAGAAATTAAATGAAACATATTACTTTTACTATATCTTGCCTTTGGCCCATTGAGGAGCAGAAAAAAAGTAAAAGTTATTAACTTGTGTCAAACCCTGTAGGCCATTATTATATATACTTGATAAAATCAGTTACAATATTTGATAAGTTTAGACAACTTCATAAACTGCAACCTCATGGTTATCTTAAAAGGACAGGTTCGCCATTTTCTTTGAGCAATCGTACTTTAGTCACAAAAACTGAAATTTTTTACCTAAGTTCAGTAGTAATAGTGAATTTTGAGCCTTCAAATCCATGCATATTCAGAATTATCCATGTTTAAAGTTATAAAGACGACTCATCATTTTAAGATACTCTGTGATATGTAAAAAACATATATAGTAATAGAGAATAAAATTCCTAGTTTGTAGTATTTTAAAGGAATTTTGCTATTTTCGTATATTTCTAGAACTTTCAAAGACTATTTAGATATATTTAAGACTCAAATCAACCTCCGAAAATAGGCAAACCTGTCCCTTTAATACATGCAGCGTGCTGAGTGTGGTTGAAAAGTAACAAATAGTACAATGATTCTATGCGTTTAGGCTTACATTAATAAATCAACATTATAAACAGTCATACAGTTATATAATAATAAATATGTGGGGTGAAATGAGTCGCTGAGATGGTTTATCGTTGGAATATTATCACAATAAGTGTTTATATCAGCCTGAAGGATATAATATTCAAAGCTGACAATAATTATTATAACTAATAATAGCACACAAAACACAATAAAATCATTTCTATATCTCTTGATATAGATCACTCATGTTTTCAAAAATCAGAAAGACATTATCTCTTGTGTCAAGACAGGAAATTCCTTTTCAACAACAACCTCCACTCTCTGGCTCTCCTTCTGCCAGATGTACTGTTTCCTTGGGTCTTGCAAATCCATATTTGACACCATCCCACCCTTCCTCAACCTTGATTTTCCCATCAGCAATGCTTTGATAGATATCTTTGGCAATTGAAGAAAAAGATTCTTCAACATTTTGTCCGGTCATGGCTGAAGTTTCTAAAAATTTCAAGCCATTAATTTCTGCAAATCGACGCCCATCTCGAGTTGGAACTTGACGTTGTTCTTCTCTATCTGCTTTGTGACCTATAATCAGATAAACTGCTTGATGTGGTTCTATATGCATCTTTGCCTCAGCAAACCATTCTTTCACATTATCAAAAGTACTTTTTTTAGTAATGTCATATAATATCATAACACCCACTGAATTCCTATAATATGATCTTGTTATAGACCTGAAAAGAAAATAATTTAAAAAAGATAAATAACTATCAAAATGATAGTGGATTTGGTGCCTCCAATTAGATATAGGTTTAATACTAATTAGATCATTCAGTTTATCAAATCTTCTCCTAGTCTATTGTAACATTAAATGCTAATTGGTCCTTTGAAAATATGATCACACAATTTTCATGACTTTACGACAGTGCTAGCTCCAAAGGGGCCGATGTATATTTGTCCGAATTTGCATTATTTCATTTTATAAATGTATATATATATCGAAAGAATACTCTTACGAAATGCATAAAATGCAGGGTTCAAGCCCTTTATTTAACAAATTTTATCCCTAGACTGAATTTGAAAAAAATTCAAAGACCTGCAGCCATGACAAAAGTTGAGGCATCTTATTTTTCATCAAAGTGTTAGATCATTGTGTCATTTCTGCCTTTCTAATGTCACATATCAGATAACCTTAAGGATAGGAGCTGCTTATTACCATCTTGGAGGAGAAATAATTCTGCAGTTATGATTACAACTTGAATTCAATTCTTTGAAATTCACAGTTATCAATACAATAAGAAAAGCTGCAGAACTAGCCTAATTCCTTGAAATCAGTTTAAACAAATAAACAGGTCAACACCCTAATATATCAGTCAGTCTAAACTTATCAATCATGACATATGATAGCCCAGTGTAACTATCAATAATAGATAGCCTAAAAGGAAATTAACAAGACATTAAATCAAACAGCTGATGTCACAAAGGTATTTATAATAGTTAAGTCAATGAAAAGTTGCCATATTGAATACATTATGCAACTGTGGATGAAACAGACAAACTGTACAGATCCAAAATGTTTCAATTTCTTGTTACATATCTGTAAGAAAATCATTACCTGAAACGTTCCTGACCGGCTGTATCCCATAACTGTAACTTAACCCTGATTCCTGGCTTCACTTCAATAAGGCGGGCATAAAAATCCACCCCTACAGTTGGGTCACAAGTTTCTTCAAACTTGCCATCAGTAAAATATTTCAATAAAGACGACTTTCCTACCGTACTGTCCCCAATCAAAATAAGTCTAAATTGATACTCAAATATTGGTTCAACCATTCTATCGAATTGTTACGTTAATTATAAGAAAGATAACCAGTTAATTGATAAATTTTGACAGCAATTTTTTATTTACGTCGTCCGCATGACTTTCTATCTTGGATTGTTTTGATCACGTGATGATTTACCGTAATCATTCCGTTATGTCGTTTATGATTGGCTGACTGTATTTTATAGACCAATGAAATAGCTACTATCTTGACATGTCATTATACTACTAACCTATTTCTGCAACATAGTGGTAAAATGTGCAACTGATTTTATGATGTAGAGATGTTGTTTCGTGTTAACATAGATTATTATAGAACAGTGTACAGTTCTATGGTGTAAACTAGTTACTTACTTGCAGATTGTCTACATATTACAATATTGATGGGGCACCGAAAGATCAAAGAGTTTAATTTAGATGAAGCTGCTTTCCCTTCAATTAACCTGCTACCGCTTCAATTAACCTGCTACTGTTTCAATTAACCTGCTACCGCCCCTTTCTTTCTGCAGGCAACTTTCACTTTGTTTTGAATCTCATCCCTTTAACGTGTAGTCTACCTACTAAACAGACCACTTTTGACATAGGGGCCAAGTCTAAACAGATTAACAGTTGTTTCCAGAGAAGCTACACGTAGGCCTACTCCATGCAGCTAGGATTAATTCAGAAGAAGTTTACATTGATTGGTCCCTACAGTGTGTCTTTTCTTTTCACCTGAGAATGAAATACAGAATTTTCATTATAATCCCCACCAGTGCCAAGGGAGCAATAATGGTTACTGTAGAACAGTTGATAGACTATACAGAAAAATTATTATACTAGATATTGCTGTCACTCTTTGTTTAATATTTCAAATGCCTTATTCTTTGCTTTAGATCTATATATAGAACTGAAAAGAGTTCAAGATGAAAAGATGGAAGAACATGTAGAGAATGACTTATTACTTACAAAACTTATTACAAATGGTGGATACAATCAACCAATTGAGCCAGTATTGAAAAGAAAGATCAAATATCTTGCTAAATTAATATGTTCAAGGTAGATAAACCTACTTTCATTTTACTCAATATTGGTGCTGGATATTGCAAGTCATACCACAATACAATATGTATAAAATAGATACAATATGTATCATGATAAAATAGATACAATATGTATCATGATAAAAGAGATACAATATTTGGATAATGTCAAGTTATTTGTGTCTACATGTTTTTCTAGTATACCTTATTGTAAAGTATTGATACATGACCACGTGATAAGATACATGCAGTGATAAGATACATGCAGTGATAAGATACATGCAGTGATAAGATACATGCATCGTGTAGCATAAGCTTACCAATTTATCCTATGCTTGATATGAAAAATAAGTTATAGATGAGTTGTTTTCTTATGTACTATGTCTGTGATGCATTCTAGATAAAAGTGATCTTCTTGTATCCTGTAGAATATAGCCTGTTGAATAAATATGGTATTAAACGGCGGTATTCGATGGGTGGGGGCAAAGGGTGTCATTGTTTAATACATGCGCCTTATTCATAACGCTCAAGATAGCGTCTGTCAAGAAACAATAAAAGCGAACCTAACAAAACACATATTCGTTAATATCTACCAATTATAATTGACCATTTATACCGTTAAAACAGTATTTTATTTACTAGGCCTAGTACATAAGTAGGTTCAGTCAGTTCAGATTGCTTTCTCTTTGATGGAGTTGTTGAACTCTTCGTTAGTTCGTATAGCCTACCAATAGAACCATAAAAGATTTTATGACCGGATAAAAATAGGTTAACCACTCGTAGCCATAGGATAACCTCTATGTATTGAGTCACCGATATATCATGCCACCACTATTGTTGATGTTCACTGATATTTCGGTTTATAAATACCGGTTTACCCATACAGTACCTTTAGCTCATTTTAAAATGATACTACGTCTTAGAATGAACATAAAATTTAATTTCTTGACATGGGAGTATATATTTATCAGTGAACTTACCTGGTGTCATAAAGTTACAACAGAATCCCTGTAAAATCTGGAAAATTGGAAAATTCATAAAATTAAGTAATTATTGAATCTTAATATTAAGCGTTTTTCAATAGTAAACTGCATTTTTATGGATAATTACTAAGTTTTTTGGATTTATCAGATTATATAAGGATCCTGTTATGTTATTGATGACACCAGGTATATCTAATGGCTCATATTCGCCAAGTTTAAAATTCGTAAATTTTATGTTCATTCTAAGACGTATTATCACTTTAACAGATTTAAGCCTTTTCGGACAGAAAATTCTATGTTAACATTAACTGTAGCTGAAATTTTATGTTAAATGAAATGAAATTTAAAACAAATGTTTATTCAACAATTTAGAGAATAACAATGTAATTTAGATAAAAACATTGTTATCTTTCAGCTTATATTCACTAGCATAAGCTTTTATAATAACTAACACATCTGTGACATGTAAAACTGTTCAATAATTGTCTGAAATTAGTTATATAGATAGTTGATACCAAATAAATTACAATTAAGCCATTATAACTTATGTTATAACGATCAATATTGTCGCATTTTAGTTCAAATTTTTGTTTTTGAAGTGAAGTTTTTTTTAATGGATATGAATTTTGATTTCAGAAAATTTTGTAAAACATTTTTATTTGGTCAGTTTTTATCACTTTTATTATGTGGTACTGGTGTTACTAGTGGACTTTTACAAAAGCATGGTCTCAATACTCCAACAGGTATGTTACCAACTATGTTTCTTTTAAAATGGAATTGTTTGCAATCATATGACCGGGAAAATGTTTTTCATCAAATTAGTTGATCAAACTTGGGTGAAAGCCAACAAGAATCTTACTCAGCACAAATTTGTCATCATTGCAACCATCATGGTATGATATACAACCTAAAATTGATATCACATGACACAATTGAATCATTTTTGCTTGTAAATTAATTTGGTCACCATTTTGCTAAAGCTTGCACTTATTTGCACCTCCTTTAGTTGTGTAGTCTTCAGGACATTGCCAAATGCAGAAGTCACATGATTGAATAAAAATTGTCCGTCAAGTTTCACACATGGTTATGGTAACTTTTGTCATCTTCACAATGTCAAGCTAATATGAGCTGCGTCTTATACCTTGACTGCCATAGCCACATTTCTTGTATAAGACGTAAGTTCGTAATAGCTTGACATTGTAAAAATAAATTTTTGTGCTTACCAACAAAAAGTTTATAAATATTAGAAACTCTCCCAATATTCCATCCTCTTCAGCCCTGTCATGGCAGCCGGCCCTACACAACATTCACGCCCAAGCACCACTTCACTCCTGAATTCCTCTACTACCTATTCTAGTATTGTGTTTTATTTATTTCAGCTCAGTGTTTTTTAAACTATATTTTATTAAGTGTTGTATATAGCAGCTATCTGGCGTGTCGTAAAGAAACTGAGAGACCATTAATGTATATAATTAAAACACAGGGATGGAAGTACTTTCTTTTAGCCCTGGTTGATGTTGAAGCAAATTTTTTAGTTGTCAAGGCATATAGTTATACCACAGTTACTAGTGTACAAGTAAGTGACATGATTATCACATATCGTAACGTTTTTGTTTGTTTTATTCCAAACACATTGCAGAAAAGTAGGACGTAAAACTCTTTTCATTACATTTCATTTCAAAACCAACCCATGGCAAAACAAACCCTATTATTTTGGTCAAGACCACATAATCAAAATTCTTAGTCTGTTCCGACTATATTTCAATATGACTAATGTCTTGACTTCAGTCTGCTAGAATGAATGACAATAAAGTCAGGGTGGAGGTGGACATTGCCCAAAAAGTACCCCCTTAATACCCCCCCCCTGGTTAAAATGTTTTGTTTCAAAAAAATATTTATTTTAATTTTTTGTATGTTAATATTTCAGGTTTTAGATAGTTTTACCATACCGTCTGTCATGATATTATCTTTTATATTTCTACGTGTTAAATATGGTTTGTTTCACATAAGTGGTGCTGTTATCTGCTTATTTGGAATTGGAGGGTTGATTTTATCTGATGTTTTAACTAAAAACCAGACTAATAATTCACAACGTAAGTTGTTGAAATCTACTTGCCCACATGATTCTCAATTTCAACTGTGTCACTTTTTAAATTGAGAATCTAGCGTCTGGTTCTTCTGCAATAGAAGACTGTGTCCAATCATATTAATACTGATGATGTCTTAGTATGGTAATGTCATTTCCCAAACGCAAAAAATGACTCTGAAGTGATGGCTAAGCTTTTAACAGAATATTTGATTTGTTGAACACATCTTTCTTATATATATTGTAAGATCTAGAATGATTGAGATAAACCACAGAAAATCAAAGTAAAACTAGCTTGAGCTGTATTCTAATTGGATTGTTGACAAGATATTGATGATATATTTCAGATGATCAAATGGTATTAGGTGATATTTTATGTATTTGTGGTGCTGTGTTGTATAGTATATCTAATGTAGGAGAGGAATATATTGTTAAAAAGTATGCTCGAACAGAGTTTTTAGGCATGGTTGGATTATTTGGTAGTTTTATTAGTGGTATACAAGTGTAAGTCTAGGATTTTTAAAAATTACATGCTTCATTAACATATTGCCACTAACTTCAGATTGCTATCTTGGTGTTTGTTAGTGAGTTGTTATATTTTTGATGTGTTGTAGTTTTGAAACCTTAGTAGGCTATAAATTGCTAGTGGCAAAGCAATGCAGTATGCTATAAAAAAAAATTTGAAGGATCTCAGCACCTGTCTTTCCCCTTAAGAGTCGTTTAAAAAAAGAATACTTCAGTAGCTCAACTACTATAAAGACTGGTTGAATCAAGTCACCCACTTCTTGGGTCCCCCTACGAAAGAAAAAAATATTAACAGGATTTAAATTGACTTACAGAGGGGTCTAGGAATGCAGGAGAGCATTAGTTTAAAAAGAAAATTCCCAGGGGAGGGGCCCCCAATCTATTTTAGTCCACTGGCCCCTACTCATCTAGTTGAGCTGCTGAGAAATACATAGAAATACATTTTATTTTGTTGAAAAAGCAATCTGAAATTCAACAACTGTCAATCTTTGTTTCATTGCTTGTGGAAGATCATAGTTGTGCTATAAATGAAATTGATTATATTTTGCTATTTTTCTAGAATTATTGTTGAAAGAAATGGTTTTAATGATGTTGACTTCTGGACAGTTGAAATATGTAAGTCAAACATACATATAAAATTTTTAATTTTGTTTTTGTCAAAATGAGTTTTCTACTTTTAAACCATCAATATAGAACTAACTAATATGACCCATTAAACCCTTAAAGGGATTGTAAAAAGGTTTTCCAAAAATTTAATGTCTATTGGGGACAACGATAGCATCAATTTGCACCATTCCAATTTTCAATCAGACGTCTGGTTCTTGCAATTCCACTAAAACTAAACCGTTTGATGACATCACTAATCGCAAAATATGCTTGTATCCCATAAGGACTTCCCAATTAGTGATGTCATAAAAATGGAATTGCATGCACCAGACGTCTGATTTCAAAATGGAATGGTGGAAATTGATGCTATCAGTGTCTCCAATACACATATCAAAAACCTCTTTACAATCCCTTTAGGAAGCCGCGGTGGCTCAGTGAGTTAGACGCTTGCTCGCTAACCTGAAGGTCCAGGGTTCAATCCCAGCATAGGTCGAGATAATACCTTCGGATTTTTCAACTCAGTTTCCCCTTGTCAGTGCTGACATGGAAAAAGCGTCTAGTCGTTCGGATGGGACAATAAACCGAGGCCCCGTGTGCTACAGGCTGTGTACGTTAAAGATCCCTCAACAGTTGGAAATCGAAGAAGAGCAGGCTAATGCCGCTGTCCTGGCAAAATTTTCCTCATGGCACCCTGCATGACGTTGCCCGTCTTCATTAGCCCACATGGTGCAGAAGAGTAAGACGTAAAACTCCATTCATTTCATTTCATTTACAATCCCTGTAAGTGCCATGACATTGCAAATGTTAGATTTGGTACATTTGATTGACAATTGTCATTTGAAATACTTGACTGATATTTGAATTATTTTATGTACTTTTGTCAACTGATATGATATTATATTTCAGTATTACCATGGTTACTGTATACTGTCTGTTTATTTTTACTCTATTCCTGTATGACTATTGGTATACAATATACAAGTGCCACTGCTATGAACTTAGCAATCCTTTCAGCTGATTTTTACGCTCTTTTAGTTGGAGTATTTGTGTTTAATTATACAGTAAGTATACCTTGATATTTGTTTTTACAACTTTTTATCACCATTAACTTGAAAAGTTAAAGACAATAGATAAAAGTCATAAAAAAAAATCTTTTTCTTTATTTTGCAAACAGTTGAATTTTAATTTAGGCTGCAAATATGACAATTAAAAATGACAATTTTTGTTCATGTAGATATATTATAAATTTAATTGAAATCTTTGGTGATTTTCTGTTTCCACTTGCCATCCATGATCTATAAGAAATTCTTCCTTATATTATGTTATCTGATTATGCCAAAACTTTTCCTAACCAATCAAGAATATCAAATGTTGGCTGACAAATACAGATTTATTTTAAAGATCTTAGAATTCCTCAGATGTAGTAGACAAAACAGAGCATTTGATTTGTTGGGTATTTTTAGCAAGCAGGAAATCAATGTGCTTAAGAATTTCTTTAGATAATAGATGGCAAATGTAATCACTGCAAAACACTTAAAGGGACAGATGCCCCATTTTGGTTGATTTGGGTCTGAATATATGTAAATAGTCTTTAGATGTACTAGAAATGTATTTATTTCAGTTCCATGTTCTATATTTCGTTGCGATGGCAGTAATTATTGGTGGAATAATATTATACTCATTGAAACCTACAGAAAGTCGTGATCCCCTTCCAGTTGCTGATGAGGATAATAGCTGACACCCGGAAAAAAGAAAAAAAACTAGTGGGGATGTTAAATTTCAGTGACATATCAACTAGATATTTAATGTATAACAGTTTTCTCTGTTGATTGTGTAATTCAACTAGTTAAATTTCAGTGACATATCAACTAGATATTTAATGTATAACAGTTTTCTCTGTTGATTGTGTAATTCAACTAGTTAAATTTCAGTGACATATCAACTAGATATTTAATGTATAACAGTTTTCTCTGTTGATTCTGTAATTCAACTAGTTAAATTTCAGTGACATATCAACTAGATATTTAATGTGTAACAGTTTACTCTGTTGATTGTGTAATGCAACTAGTTAAATTTCAGTGACATATCAACTAGATATTTAATATATAACAGTTTTCTCTGTTGATTGTGTAATTCAACTAGTTAAATTTCAGTGACATATCAACTAGATATTAAATGTATAACAGTTTTCTCTGTTGATTGTGTAATTCAACTAGTTAAATTTCAGTGACATATCAACTAGATATTTAATGTGTAACAGTTTACTCTGTTGATTGTATAATTCAACTAGTTAAATTTCAGTGACATGTCAACTAGATATTTAATGTGTAACAGTTTACTCTGTTGATTGTATAATTCAACTAGTTAAATTTCAGTGACATATCAACTAGATATTTAATGTGTAACAGTTTACTCTGTTGATTGTGTAATTCAACTAGTTAAATTTCAGTGACATGTCAACTAGATATTTAATGTGTAACAGTTTACTCTGTTGATTGTGTAATTCAACTAGTTACATTTCAGTGAAATGTTAACTAGATATTTAATGTGTAACATTTTACTCTGCTGATTGTGTAATTCAACTAGTTAAATTTCAGTGACATATCAATTAGATATTTAATGTATAACAGTTTTCTCTGTTGATTGTGTAATTCAACTAGTTAAATTTCAGTGACATATCAACTAGATATTTAATATGTAACAGTTTACTCTGTTGATTGTGTAATTCAACTAGTTAAATTTCAGTGACATATCAACTAGATATATAATATATAACAGTTTACTCTGTTGATTGTGTAATTCAACTAGTTAAAATTCAGTGACATATCAACTAGATATTTAATATGTAACAGTTTACTCTGTTGATTGTATAATTCAACTAGTTAAAATCAGTGACCAGTCATCAGGGCAAATTCAAATTTTTTATATTAGTTTTCCTTTAATGCAAGAAATATTCTTATTGTGATAATTTTTAATAAAATTTTATATTTTAGAGGGCCTTATGTTTAAAATAAATATTGATGTCCAATTTTCAATAGGAATTCATCGTAAACTTAAAGAATTGTCCCAAACCTGAAAACCCAGAATCAAAAAATTCAAAAAATCATTTTTATATGCACATCTTTATTTCCTGGACTCCTAATCCTAAAAATCACTTGTTAACAATATATTTTTATACTATATATACATTTGATAACAATTTGATTGTACAAAAGCATGATTAGCAAGAGAAGAATAAGAAATTACAAAGAAATGCGGTAAGCAACAAAAATCAGAAAATAAAATCAATAGCCAAAGTTGCATACCCTATATGCCTTGAGTAGAGTTCATAAAATCAATGCATTATTTAATGCCTAATCCAACATTAACAGGACTACATCTTGAGCATTTTAGTACATATTAACCCTTGAAACATCAGCCTCTTTTGTCAAGTCAAGGATTTCGACTTCTATGCTCCACATTGACAACAAGTGGTAATTGTTCCTGCCCTGCTATATGAACTTGGTACTTATAGACTGAAATAGCCACCATTCTTGTACCACATAATACATTTGATTGGATACCATAGAATACAGTCAATCAAAGCCCTTGACATAAAGGCTTTAACTTTGTTCGCAGACTTTCTATAGAAGCCTCTGATTTGCTAAATTTGCTGTCGTACAACCTAATCAAACTTAAAGGTGACTATTACAGTCAAAGTATTAGTGCTACATTCATAATAGCTTGGATATCTTTTGTACCCTTGATCAAACAAGATTTAACTTGTAAATTAAAAACTTAGCACTGGGAAGATACTCTCCTATAGAAGCACTGGCCAAGGTCACAAGAGAACATACTTCTTTTTAGTGTTTTGTATGATGAAGAAAGCTGTAGTTAATTGCATATTTTCATAAACATGATCAGTCTTAATATTTCAGATAGTCAAATGACAACAGCGTAAACTGGATTCATTCGTTTGAATTCTACCCTAAAATATTTAGAATATGTTTATATGTGTGGATGTCCACAAATATTTTTATCTTAATCATACATAACGAGACTAAGCCGTCAAATTTCAAATAAAATAATGGTTCACAAAACAAATATCCTCTATATCTTGTTATAATAGTACCGGTCGATTGGAGAGTTCAGAACAGGTTCTATCAACCATATATGTCACATTCAAAATTTATATAATTCCTTCTTAACTTGTTTTTTGAATGTCCAGTTCATTTCATAAATTCTGAACAGGCAGAACTTAACAATTGAGCGACCCCCATGTGTGTATGATGAGAATTTATCATCTGTTCTCTAACTGGACAATGCAAATATTTTCATGAACGTGTCAATTGCACTGAATCCAAATTAATACATTTCTTAACAAACTTTCACTTCCAGTCACACCTGCAATAAGCCAATACTGTACAAAAACCATGAATCAACATGAAAAAAGAGAAGCACAATAGATGAAAGTGAAATACTGTTTCTATTTTTAATCAGATGTTGAAGGACGTCTAGATTTCATTGATTTTAAAGCTTTTTCTCGTAATTTCCTCTCCAATTCTTCCATGTTCTCACCTTCTTCAGAATCCTAAAAATATGATTTACAAATTAACTACCAAAGATGAGGGATGATTTTTTATTGCAGCAGATGACTATAAAAGAAAAAGCTCTGTGTGTGTGCCAGCTAGGTTCATGTATGTAGTCTTCTTTTGGCCAAGTTGATAAATCAGTGGCACATCAACCTTAGTGCAACATGTCTCTGATTACAGCTCAGGTATCACATCCTAGTGAGAATTCCATTAGAGTAGACAAAACCATACATCTAAGTATCTATTTTGAACAGATCTTAAAGCATGACATGACATGACATTTACCCGGTTGCCTATTTTACATTCATGAATAAAGAATATCTCTAATCAGTACCTCTGCATCATCTCCCTCTTTCTTGCTCTTATGTTTCTTGTGTTTCTTATGTTTTTTATGTTTCTTTTCCTTCTTTTTCTTTTTCTTTTTATTTTCTGCATCAGATCCCTGAATATAAACAACTAAATTGTTTCAAAATCAATGACAACCTATCTTCAAGGGTTGAAAAGTTCAACACTACAAAAAGAGACACTGGTCCAATCCTATCACTGTGTAGTCGCCTAAAATCCAAGTTGTCTTTTTATCTTTATGGAGACAGGTATGTACTAGGGTTAAAAAGTTTAAAAAAAAGTTCAACAAAGGTCCTTTCATGTCACTGTGTAGTCATCTAACATAAAACGCTTCTCACATGTCTAGGAAATAGTAAGTTGAACCATAGTTAGATTGGTTCAGCCAACAGCTTAGTTTTGTCAAAAATTGTACAATTTTCACCGGACAGTCTGCTGCAATAAAGAAGTCAAAAGGATTATAATATAAAGTATCATACCTCAGATCCACTAACTTCTGCCTTCTTTTTCTTCTTAGATGTTCCATTCGGCTGGGGACTCATACTCATCTCCCTTTTCTTATCTTTCTTGGACTTCTTCTGAACTGAAGGCACATCTTCATCAGAGCTAAACCGTTTATTTCTAGATACTTTTAGTGGACTTCTTGAATCCCTGGACTTCTTCAGCTTCTTGGTTACATGTGGACTTGGAGATCTGGACACTTTTCTTGGTTTTCTAACCTCTGGTGAAGATTCAGGTGAAATTGGTCTCTTTTTGCTTTTCTCCTGAACTTCAAGGCGATTTCTTTTTGTTTCATGTTTGGATTCTGATCGTTTTGGAGACTCATTGTCAGAGAAATCTCTTGGCCTTTGCTTCATCTGAGGTGGCGGACGAGCCGATTTTGGTGGAGGACTAGTGGAATGACTCTCTGAGCGTCTTTGTTTTCTGGGAGCTTTACGGGGTGGGGGAGATGGTGAGGGGGAATCTTCTGATGATTCATTTCTAACTTTACCAGACTTTTTACCACCTCGACTTGTCTCTTTTATTTGGTGTTTTTTGGGTGGTGGTGAAGGAGATTCAGAAGAACTAGAATCATGTCTTCGAGGATCAGCTACAATAGGTGACTTTGTGCGAACTGGAGCAGATTTAGCTGGAGCTGGAGGAGGCGATGCTGATGATGAGTCACGAGGAGCAGCTGGTCTTCTCATCTGTTGTTTCTGTGGAGGTGGTGGCCGTTCCTCATCATCAGAACTAGAAGATGACTGCTGATGTTTCTTGGGAGGAGGTGATTGAGATTGAGAAGCTCTACTACGTCTTTGTGGTGGTGGTGAACGTGAATCAAGACGTTTAGGTTGGTATGGTGACCTGTCCATGTATAGTCTCTTAGTATATGGAGGATCTCTGTAAAAAAACCAAAAATAACATCATTAATAAGTGGTGGCCTCATATTTTTTGGAGGTTTCATACCATAGCATTGTATCTTGAACAATATGCAGGTATCAATACATTCACCTTTCAACTCTAGACTATTTATTTATGATCTTTTCCTAACTGAAAATTTTTGCTTCTAAATTCAATTTTGCTATGTGAAAATACTGTCTAATATTAACAAAAAAAAATATTCCAAAAACCAAAATCATACTCAAATAATTCAAACTAAATTCAATCTAATTTATCATACCTTGCAGGTGAATCCCTGTTCCTAGGGGATTGGCTTCTTCTTCTTGGGGAATGTCTAAAGAAAAAAGAAAAGTTAGTCATAATAAAAATTTACAAAATTCTAACTAACAAATTATGACATATGCCTGTAGGACTACCAATTGCTCTGGTCATCATCACTTTGGTCTAATAAAGGACCTAATACAATTAAAAAATGATGCAATCACTTCTTATAAGGATAACAAATTTACTTCCTCACCAAGGCCGACTATGCATCCATGCCTAAGTGACATGAAACTTGCAGTGGAATTTTGAGATTATTTGGATAGTTATACGTTGATTTCACTTTGTGACTAGAAAGTTATTCTAAATTTTCATTCAAGATAAGACTAACTTAGATTTACCTCCTGTCATTTCTGTTGTCATAGCGACTATCATATCTGTTATCATACCGGTTGTCATAGCGATTATCATATCTGTTATCATACCTATTGTCATATCGTCTTTGATTGTAACTATTATGGTATGGATACCTTCCCCTGAAACAAGAAAATTCCTTAGCTTCAAATTTCTTATTTACAAGTAGCCGATCATTTTCCATAATAAAATTTTCAAAATACTGCTGAATCATCAGCCCAGGGTTTTTTTTAGTCTCTTATGAATTTTCAATATGAAACCTACCTGGAATAATGAGGATTATAATGTGGATTATAATGAGGATTGTAAGGATAACGATGATTAGGTGATCTTCTATCATATCTTTGAGGTGATCTTCTACCAGGCGATCTTCTACCAGGCGATCTTCTACCTGGTGAGCCTGAACGTCTTCTTCTATGTTTAGGAGCATCTGTAACAATGAAGAGAACTTTATCTTAGATTTTGGACTCTTTTCACAAGAACTGTAACAACCAAAATTCATAAAAAATATTACAATTTCAAACAGTATATAATAAATCTTAGAGACAGATGCGCTATTTTGGGGGATTGATTTGAGTCTTGAAAATATGTAAATAGTCTTCTGAAGTACTAGAAATTTACGAAAATCACAAAATTCCTTTAAAACTAGGATCTTCTTCTATATAAGACTAGCAAGAAAAGATGAGTTGTCTTTAACTATTGAACACAGATAATTCTGGACACACATGTCCAAAATGTCTTAGATGTCGAAGGTAAGCTGTGAGCAATATTAATGGCTAGCTTAGCTAAAATAATTCCTGTCTACAGTACAATTGGTCAAACCAATGGTGAATCTTACGAAATACATCAAAGTGAATAACCTTGAGACTTTAATCAGGATGGCAATGTACAATTGTTTGTCAAAAGGGCTTCACACTATTCCTACCTTTATCATCTTCATCTGAAGAGCTAGAAGATTTTTCAACCTCAGCAGTATCACTGTGTGTTCTGTAGTTACGTCTCTTCTGAACACCTGATTTGGTAGGCGAGTCATCTTCAGTGTCACTACTATCACCATCCTCTTTCTTTTTCTTCTACAATAAAGGATGATTCAGACGTGACCAATATCTATATTTTTACTCAGATAATAGGTGGATTTTCAACGACAACAATGAAATGAAATATCTAGATATGCATTTTTATCATATGCTTCCTGGGTGGGAAATACTAGTATAGGAATTTATATCATTAGTAATATCGGCTGACTAAAAAATACCGAAATATGGCCATACTGTGATATATGATACTTATCATAATATATCTTCAAACTTTTGTCCAGATAAGATCATCTACACAATTTTTACAAGTAACTTAATATTTGAAACAGATGTTTTTTCATGATATTAAAGACAGAGAGTTGTTATATTGATGCTTGATATTGTGATATCTACACCCAGCCTTATGCTACTATGCCCAGCCTAATGCTACTCTTATGTTGTTATTGAAAACTGATTCAAGTGCACTCTATAACTTCCCAACATTCAGGGCTATTTGCTTACCTTCAGTGCCTTTTTCTTGGATTTAGGACTTTCACTACCAGATTTAGAAGCTGAGCTTGAACCAGAACTGCTTGACCTGTATAACATAATAAAAATTTGTTTGCATAACTTTTGAATAAGAATAAAAAGACATCGAATGAACTTTGAGCTATTATTGATTGCCATTAAAGTCTGGCTTTATGGTCTATACTGTTTCCAAGGCAGTCCCTTAACCTGCATCACAGGCACGGAAAGACAAGTTTGAAAATCATATTTCAACATTTGTCAAAACCCTTAGTTTAAGCTAAATTTTAGTCCATTAACAGCTAAGCTTGAATACCTTTTCCTAGGAGGTTTCCTTGATTCTGATCCTCTCTTTGGTGAAGATCTAGATGATCTTCTATGAGGTGATCGGTCTCTCCTATCATAACGTCTTCTTGGTGAGGGAGATCTTCGTCTTGGTGAAGATCTATGACGACTTGGTGATGATTTTCGTCTTGGTGAGTATCTATCTGATGATCTTCTTCGTCTTTGCGATCTGAAATTGGAAATGGCAATTAGATGTGTGTGATAAAGGATATGGTGTGTGCAGTAAGATAAGTATGCCAATTTTACTGATCATGTCTGCAACATCAATAAAAGTAAACAGCAGCTTAGGTTTTCGAGGATGTACCAGGCAACCCTTGGTCAGGCCTTTTAGATGTGGATAAGCAGACCATACTTACTCGTTCCAAACACCTGATGGTACTTATCTTTGGAGGAGTCCAGTACTATACAACTTTACTCTTGATTTTGCCATACTTTCGAGGAGAATTTGATTAAGGGAATTGTCTGGCTTGTACAGGTTTTTATCATGTATATCTCATGTCATGTTCATGCATTGGCCAAGATCAGAACCCACAACAATCAAGCAAACCTCAATATTCTAAAGAAAGCTAGTAGTGGTTAGTGATGAGCTCTTGACACTTTTATCATTAAGTCTAAAAGTTACCTGCTTCGAGACCGTCTTTTCCTTCTCTCTGGAGTTCTGGATCTACTCTTTCTCTTCCTGTCTTTAGACCTAGATCTTGATCGAGACTTTTTCTCATCCTTCTTCTCAACTGTCTTGTCACCCTCGCCATTTTCTATTTTCTTGTCTTTCTCCCTGATGACAAAGATATATTGTAAACAGACATAATTCCTTTGACTTATCTATGCTAATATAGAAGTAAGTATACTGCAAAACTGCAAATTGGCAATAAAAATATCGTGAACATCCAACAACTCTAAAATAACACTACAGTCTACAGGCCTCAAAATTGTCCACGAAAGCTTATCCAAACCATAGGTAAATGAAATTATACTATTCAACTAGGACATCGGTATTGGTTCACCTTTTTGGAATCTAACCGTCGAATGACATGCAAAGTTTGTTTTTTTGTGTGCAAAGCTCCCATTGACCTGCATCAATGAGGAGGAAACTAGTTCAAATATTAGAAAGTGGTATCACAACCTATGTCATGGATATCTGAGTTAGCCATCAACGAACTTGATAAACCACCCCTGCTCCTGTGAATGAAAAAACAAATCTTACCCTTCTTTATCTTTATCATCAGTCTTGGTGTCACCATTTTTCTCATCAGTTTTACTTGGTGATTTACCTTTTTCTTTATTCTCTGGTGTTCTTGATCTCTTCTTCCTCGGTGACTTGGATCTGGATCTACTTTTCCTGAATTCAAAACAAGTATATTTTCAGAAATAAACCCCTTTTATAAAATATTCTCATGATACTCTATTCTTGTGCATTTAAAAACACTTTACCTGCTTCAGAAATTAGTTTGATTAGAATGACCTTCTATACCAGTCAGTTTTTGGTTCTTTACATGACATCATTTGCTTGGTTATGTCCAGCAACTGGTGGCTGTGGATTCTTACCTGGATCAGCATACAAAATTATCATCTTCACTCATAATTAAAATCGACCAAGCTGCCAATGGGTACAGATGATCCTCAAAAGATCAATGACAAAAGGCCAAGGACCAGCTGGTGGAAAGGATACTTAATTGTGAACATAAGTAGTAGAGATATTGTAACTCTTTCTCCCTTGCCATATTTTTTGATATCACAATAAAATAATAAGTAAAATGTACCTAGTAGATGGTGAATCTCTTCTGTCACTTTCTCTTCTTCTACCAAGTTCTTCTTTAATATGTTCTTCATGTTTCTTCAGGTTAGCTTGTATTCTTTCATGTTCAGCCTAAAAATAATCAACAAAACTAGGACACATATCTATTATTGTCTGAGAAAAAGGTATTTTTGATTTTTTTTGGATATTTTTAAGAGAATTGGAATATCAGCATCATCATAGTGTTGATAAAAAAAATAACTCATTGTAATAACATTGAAAAGAAACATATTTCTCTCTTAGAAATTTCAACCAATAAAAGTCCCAAATTTTGAAATTATTTAACATGCCAATACAACTTTCTGATTATTTGATTCTTATGTTAATTTACCTGTCGCTTTTTAATCTCTTCTTTCTTCTGTTCCAGAAATTTAGACGGTATTCCTGCAATGTTTTCTTGTGCACTAACCAACAATTCCCATAACTCTTGTAGAAAGATCCTGGCATTCTTCGGATTTAGAAATCCAGTCAGATTTATCTGCATATCTTTAGGATCAGGAAACTGTAATTATACAAGGGGAAGAAAAACATGCATTAGTAGAACAATCTCTACCCAGACCAATTCCAAGACTTCCTGAAACATTATTTTATGGTTATATTTTGAAATGACTGTTGATTGTGAGTAATGAGGAACCCAGCTGTGATATTTCATAAATATTCCATTCCAGATTAATCTGCTAAGTCAAACCACTCGAGGATTTGAGGTGCTGAATTCAAAGTTCATTTACATGGTCTTTTTTTCAAAAACTGGAACATTTTAACTTTTTACTAGGCACCCAGTAAATCAAAGGTATCAAACTGTTCGTTAAATTTTCTTTTCTCTAAATCTGAAGCAGTATATTGTATGATCAATTCATTATGTACTGGAACATTTATCACAGCCAAGTCTCTCATATAAATCATAGGCTTATATACAGAGCTACCAACACCAATAGAACATTATTACAGCCTCTAGGCACACCCAGAGGGAATTTAAGTAAATGTTTTATAAGTTTATTTAAGATTCTCATCTTGTGGAATGTAAGGGGAGATGAGGAGGAAACAACCATCAAATTAATAAAGTAGTCTAAATGTTTGTTTTACCAGCATCAAATATATGAGTGAATGACTATATATTTTCTTCCTGAAATGAGATGACTTTACACCTCAGCTCAGCTGGGAAAACAAATATTTAGACAACTTATCCTGTATATAAACCAAAGAGGTTTACTGAATTATTATGTCTATTAAGAACACTGATAGCATTAATTTGAGCCATTCCCATTCCCAATTAGGCATTTGTGCTTCATGCAATTCCACTAAAACTAAGTGTTTGAAGACATCACTAATTATGAAGGCCTTAAGTGATAAAGCGCATTTTGCAATTAGTAAAGTCATTAAACAGTTATTTTTTGTGGAATTGCAAGAATCACGTCTGATTGAAAATTGGAATGGTGCAAATTGATGCAGTCAGTGTCCCCAATACACTAGAAAACCTTTTGACAGTCCCTTCAAGCAGAACCTTTCAATCTATTCAGACTAGATGTCAAAATGTTACTGATTGACATTTACATCAGATGATATATTCTTATTCCTTTAAGATGTCCCCTGAACAAAAATCCTTTAATATCCCTGTCTTTATGGGACAAATAATAAACTGTAGAAGGTAAACACAACATCAACAATGGTTCATACTCCTTTTTCTTTCAAACATAGATCTACAATACTTTATTTTACCATCAACTGTTGTTAGACTAGAAAAACACACACAGTTTTCTCAAATAATAACAGACTTTCACTGGTCTTTTCAACAAATTTCTGCAAAAAAAGTCTTGGTATAAGAATAGGACTTGAATTGGCACTTCTAGAACATTGCAATAGATAAAACATTTGAAAGTATTTTGGAAAGCTAGCTTGTTGCAGTTTTTATCCATTTTATGCCTGTTTTGATGGGAATCATTCATTCATCTTTTTTTTTTAATCTTGTGATATGGCTGTATGTTACTTTATCCGTCATTACTCAACACATCAAAGCATGGTAGCCATTAATATAAGTGTCTTGAGTTTGAATGAAACTGATTGAAATTGATGTAATTACCTCAAATCCACGTAAATGATGCAATATACCAACCGTCCACAAATTACAGTTGTTATGACGATTGATGTCGAATGCCCTCTAAATATTTACTAATATAATGCTCCTATGGAATAAGCGATTCTGGAAGTGTGTGAACTCCTTGCCATGTCTCTTTGTATTTCATTCTTGGAGATGAATATTTATACGTGAACTTCTCTAATTGTGAGAGGAAACAGTCAAATATAAGTACAAAGTATAAACAATCTAGCATACAGAAATAATGTGCAATCCGTATGCTATAAACCACAGATAAAATAATGCTTACTGTTTTTTACAATTTAAATTCATAACTGTTTTTCATACTTTGGACTGCAGTTAACATTTTGTTCTTCAGGTGAAACTTGCAGTATTTTTATAACAGTATGGAAATAATGAAAAAATATTGTTACCTTTACATAAAAGACATATACTTACTATACCGAGCATTTTGAACCCAAAATCAAAGGAAATGATTAAGATGAAAGATTGAGTGTGATTTCTTTTGATTTTGGTCACAATCTACTCAGTTCAATCTTGAAGTAATAAATTTAACATTTAAATTTATTTTATCATTTCAAACTGGGATTTTGTAACTAAAGAAAATAAGTTCATAGCTTACCCGTTCCTCTAATTGATTATACACAAATTCTACAACAACATCATCTTCGATGCCTAATAATTCTGTGATTCTTTGAGCTATCCATGGTTTTAAAGTATCTACATTTACTTTGGTCATATCAACCTAAAAGAAATATTGGATCCTACAATATTTAAAATTTTGGGACCTATTTGACAAAACATTTTGCTATGAAACATTAAAAAAGAATAAAACATGTTTGCTATTAAAAGCCAAAGTTGGCCATGTCCGGAAGACGTTCAAACTAGAAATTTCACTTTCTGTTTCTATATAAAAGCTATGTCTTTTCTATATGGCAGAGTATCAAGAAAAGAAGCCATTTCAACTTTCAACAAGACAAGACATTGATTGAACTGTGAACACTGACTATTACTGAATAAGCTTGGCTTCCCGATCATGAGACTAAGGTACGATTCTTCAAACAGATGGCAAAATTGTCCCTGTAAAATAGGCTCATAATATCCTAAAGTCATGGTATCTATAATGGAAACATAAATTTATAAATACTGTTGAACTCACCTTGTTTTCCAAACTATCACCAAATTTCATAGACTTCATCAATTTCTTTTTCTTATCAGCAAATCTTGTATCCTGCTCTGCAGTAGTTCCCTACAAATAGCACAAATGGTACATTAGAATAACAAGACGGGTTAATAAATTTACATCATACTTTTTTTACAATCTGTAAAAATAGACAATAAAATAATGGGGGGATGTGCCATGTGGAAAAAGTAAAAACATTTTACTTTACAACCGGTACGGCCAACTAAAAAGCCTTTAATAAGTCGTGATGGCACGACGCTTCGGTAAGAATAATGGGGAATACTTCAAAAAAGATCTTTGATATAAACTATATACAAATTATCTCTATGATAATGCTAATGTTTGCTCTTTTATTTGCAATTTTATTTACCTTGAAAAATCCTGCGTCCGACATCTTGGATGCTTGCAGTATTTGGTCGCAAGAGGGCACCACTGTTAGCAAGGGGAAATAAAACGTAACCATTTATTTTTTTTAAGACCTCGTTTAAATCGTAACCATGTAATAACAATAACAACAAACTTATTTACGCTTTGATCCACAGTATTACATTACTATTTAAAGATTTGTCAGCTTTGTTTGAATTAAAATATTTAAAAGAACAGCAACGATCACAAGTCACAAGTTAGCATCGATTTGTATCCAATTTTCAGTCGGACTAACCAAGTATGAAAAATGTCTTTTCATCGTCTGGTGCTGTTTGCCCTGAACTCCGCTACATAATGGGTAAGTTCAAAACGTACGTTCAGAAGTACTATATCCATATATCTTGTGTTATTTTTGATTTTTAGATGCTCTTTTTATATCCTTATTAGCCTTTAGATCGGATCTGTTCCGAAATTGACATTGGGATGACCATCTCGACGTAATTTCAGACATTGAATGCCGAACCTCTAGGTCAGTGACTTTAACTGCTTTCTTTCAATCATTAGGGTCAACCCCCCCCCCCCCCCACCCTTTCCTTGTTGAAAAGGCACGGAAAGTCGATGTGTTAGGAATATTCTTAATTCATCTGAATACTCAAAAGATACTCTTAACAGGGAAATAACAACAACAGTGGAATGATTGAAATATATTTAATAACATGAGTTATCTAGTATTGCTTGCATTATTCAAAGTGTTAAAGCTCTGTTTTTATCTTCGAACCAGTATTTTTCTGTTTAGCTTCTTTTCCATCTTGGCCTTTACGCCCCGTCTTCTTATCAACGTGTCTTGTGTCTGCTTTGTTATCTTTAGTGTGTGATTTGTTGTCTTTGGTGTCTGCTTTATCAGCAGTTGGTGTCCTTTTATTAGTACTTCCGGTTGTAGAGTCGTCATCATCATCGGCCATTATTTCTTCTTCAACAGAATCATCAACAATAAGATATTTTTCATCATCCTTTGTTTTCTCTTTTATATTTTCTGCCTCTTGCTTTTCTTTCCCTGCAAAGAAAAAAAAAAAAAACTTTTGTGGGTTTTAACGGGTTTATTTCAACCACCCCCACCAATATCACTTTTAGTAATGAATGTGGTTCGTCTGCAAGTCTATTTTTTAAGTACTCAAGCAGACATTACTAATTTTATAATCAAAGATGTTACAGCGTTTTTTGGTAATATCTGAGAATGTTTAAAAAAAAAAAGACACCGGAGGTACCGTTGCCACCAAGTCTCAATCAAATGGGAACTTGAAGTTGGATTTTGATTGTGAAAAATAGTTCTCAGATGGCGAATATTAAGCTCTATTAGCTTCCTATAGTATTCAAATGGTGAATATTAAGCTCTATCAGCTGCTTATAGTACTCAAATGGTGAATATTAAGCTCTATCAGCTGCTTATAGTACTCAAATGGTGAACATTAAGCTCTAACAGCTGCTTAGAGTACTCAAATGGTGAATATTAAGCTCTATCGGCTGCTTATAGTACTCAAATGGTGAGTATTAAGCTCTATCAGCTGCTTATATTACTCAAATGGTGAATATTAAGCTCCATCAGCTGCTTATAGTACTCAAATGGTGAATATTAAGCTCTATCAGCTGCTTATAGTACTCAAATGGTGAATATTAAGCTCTATCAGCTGCCTATAGTATACTCAAATGGCGAATAGTAAGCTCTACCAGCTGCCTATAGTATACTCAAATGGCGAATATTAAGCTCTACTAGCTGCCTATAGTATACTCAAATGGCGAATATTAAGCTCTATCAGCTGCGTATAGTACTCAAATTGCGAATACTAAGCTATATTAGCTGCCCATAGGCAAATATCTATCCGACAATATCCTTAAAAAGGCTGTTATTAATTTAGTTTCTGATATAAATGGAAAAATTTATATAAATCATATATTTACGTCTTTGTCTGTCTTGTTCCAATTTCTCTTTAGCTTTCTCTCGCTCTGTCTTTGGTTTAGTAGATTGTTTAGGTTTATCGGCATTTCCTGTCTTTCCTATGAATGTTAAATACAGAATTATTCAAAATGGTAAACAGTCGTATCTCAGATAAGTCTGACGTCAATTTCAAAATAAGGCATAAAAAGGTTTTTAATTTTTTACAAAATGAATTTTGTACCAAGAAATTGACAGAGGATTTTCCAGTTCTCTTGGTTGTTTAATCGTCTTTTTTCGGGGGGTGCAACTCGTACATACTAACTTGGTCAATACATACATCGTAGCAAAATACATGTATATTTTTACCTTGTGCTTGTTTTTCAGCAAATTTCTTTTTGATATCCGGTAGATGTCCAGTGACAGACATTTCTTCTATACTTTCTTTTAACACATCTTCTAACTGCCCAATATAGTTCTTCAGATAATCATCTACGGGACCAGTAGTAGCAGGAGCATCTTTAGCCTGTCAATAATCAAATAAACAGAGTTCAAATTTCGTTTTTCATACCTTTTCATTTTGTACAATAATAACTCTGATGAAATTCTGATCCCACAACATTGTTAGCGAAATGCGTTCAGTTTATAGAATATTACAATCAATCAAAAACATTTCTCAGTAAAAGCTTTAATTTCGAAAATTTCTTATTCAGGCCTTAGACCAAGAGTAACCCACATAAAAAAAAATCTAAAGTTTTATCAATGACCTAAATAAATAGTTTCTTATTAATAATTTCTTGCCTTAGATATTTTCCTCCGATGCATGGACTTTGTAAAACAACACACCAATACTCACAGCATAATGAGCCTTTTATCGAATCATAAATATTACATGTACCTTATTTTCCTTTTCTGACTGTTTCTTTGATTCCTTAGCTTCTTCTTGTTGGTCTTTTAATATATCATCATAATCTTGTAATCTGTCTAAAAACAACCCTCTTATATCTTCTAGCATCTAAAATGATATTTATTAAGGCTTTCAGTGAGGTTTATAATAATAATAATAGGCAGTGACGTGTGATAACCGCAAGCAGAGTAATATTGCACAGTGGTGCATCATGGTGATTACCATTTGCGTATATGGTTGAGAATAATAAAAGTAGTCATGAGTTCTCAGTTGCATGAGAGTTTATATATACTTTCTCATTTTCTTCAACCTCTACCACTTCATTCAATGCAAAAAGCAAAAACTCCCGTCTTGTATAGACGGTTTTAATTTCAAGGGAACCCATATCGGTAGTATATAGAGCGTGGGTCTATATATATAAGTAGTCAAAAAAAAAGACTTACTGGTTGACTGAGACTTTCCAAGTCAGCCATAGAGAATCTACTGTCTTTGTTAACATCCAGAGTTTCAAATACCTACAAAATTACCAAATAAAAATGATTTCAATAATTAACAAATTGATTGCAGAGTTAAGATTATTCGCACTGTTGAATTTTCTCGACACTCGGTAAATAAGTTTGTTTCCATCCTGAAATGTTTTAGTTCCGGATTGGGCTAATGAAGATGTTATGCAGCGAGGAAAATTTCCGAAGGGTTGACACTATCTTTCCGATTCCAAACTGTCAAGAGCCATTTATTTTAGTTAGCTGCTGAGGTAATGAAGACGGGCTATGCCATGCAGTAGAAACTATGGAAATTTGCTAGAAATTGTTTTACGTTCTTGCAGTATCATTGACGTCATTTTCTTTTTCCAAACGAATGACTATTCAGATATTTTCTGATCACTGATAATTTGCCAAGACATTCCCAGGCTAGCTAAAGCCACTGCGAAACCGCAACTATTTATATGGAACAAAGGATGAACTCTTATCAATGAAAAAGGAACTTCTATACCAACTCACTTCTTTAGTTATATGTTGTAGCTCATCAGTCCATTCAATTAAATCTTCCATAAATTTCTTATCCTGAAATTATCAAAACTATCATCACAGTGGGTAGAATGACCAGCACATGGGAGCAGTTTGCTTCCCATAATACATGGGATGTGTGTGTATATGGACGTACGAGGGTGATTGATAAGTAACAATTATGAGCTTATCCCTGAGGGATCGTGGTACAGACGTGTTAGACCGATTGATACAGTGGCGCGCTCAGGAGGATTGTTGTATTTGACTAATTATTATGTTTAGTTGGGTTTTCATTCTAAACGATATTATTAGCTTAAATTAAGCCGGTAAAATATTTTGTTGTCGATTGTATCCATAGAGTCAACTGTTAACAGAATTCTGAACTGCGTTTATGATATATCTTACCTTCTTCAGATGTCTTTCAAACTGTGGCAATGTAAACTTTGGTACATTCAGTAGATATGTTGTAAAATAATGCCTACAAAAGACACCAATAAAAATGCACATCGAAGCAAAAGCGAATCTATAAAATCCAAAGGCTTGAGGTCAAAGATTTGGTAACTATCGGATTTCATATGGCCTGAGATCAATTTTGGGCATATAGAGGGCTTAATTTACTTCAAATGAGAGTGAGAAAGAAAGTTAAGTAGATGATTGAAGAAAAATTTTAAAAGGTGAGTACAAAATATATGATATACTATGTAATGTTTCGGTTACTTACAACAAAACATCGGTTTCTATAGTTGTAGGATCGTCAATATCCTTAAATACAACAGAATTAAGGCTAGAAATACTAGTCTTGGTTTTACAGTTTGAAGATTTTACTGTTTTATTTCTATGGTACCATTCTATATCAGCAGAGTAGGTCTTCCCAGTAGATCTCACCTGCCAATACCTACAGAAAGTAAAGGGCAATATTCTACAATATTAGCTCAACTCATCGGAAAAGATTTTAAAGGGACAGATGTGCCATTTCGAGAGGTTGATTTTAGTCCTGCATATATGTCTTCTAAAGTGCTAGAAATGTACGAAAATCACATACTTATATTTTCTTTAAAAATACTTCAAACTATGAATTTTACTCATTACTTCAATATATGTCTTTTATATATATTACATATCTTAAATTGAAGAGTCGTCATTTTAACATTCAAACGCAGATAATTCTGGACATGAATTTGTAGGCTCAAATTTTGATGGCGAGCTGTGAACACTATAACTGATAGGCTTAGCTATATAAATTCCAGTTTCTGAGACTAAAGTATGATTGGTCAAACAATGCCCTATCTGTCCCTTTAAATGTGACAACCCTTTAATATAGATTTAATAGAAATGCGAAACCCTCGATCAATGTGTTTCTGACAGCCAACGGAACATTTGACGGGTGAAAGAACTTAGGACAGATATATCCTGCATCCTTCCAAATATCTGAGTCTCGGAAGTTTATGAATATGATCTCAAAATACTGACCATTTAGTTGGAATATACAGACAATCTCCAGCCTTAACTCGAACTTTGTGGTATTCTACTTCCCTTAAAGTTGGGAATTTTGTAAAATCTACCTTATTTATATCTATCGTGGTATAGTCAACGGGTACCTATAAAATATATAAATGATTATTACTATTATTTTACTAGAAAATAAGCGTTTTAAGACCTCATTATCGCAAAAACTGCAAATATAATATGATGCCCTTTGTGATAGTGGCTTCATAAAATATTTTAGTGAAATTACAAGCACCACAGACGTCTGATTGAAAATTGGAATGGTGCAATCGATATTATCAGTGTTCACAATAAATTTCAAAACAGTCCCTTTAAATTCTTTACCTTATCACCGTACTCAATATGGCTTATCAAAGTAAATTCTTGAGAACCAACAAAAGTACAGTGTATGGTATCTTTATTTCTTCTGTGTATTGGACTAGATTGATCTGTATGACTGATCCATAATTTCTGAAAAATAGAGGTGGTTTGGATGATGTCGACTTGCGCGATATACTTTTTTAATTGTAGCGGAATCTAACGTGTAACTTCTATTCCAAATTGTGATACGTTTAGCTGAAATTATTGTACTCTAATTGGGCTCTAAAACGGACAGGAAGGTATCAACACCACTAACAGCACCAATTTCCACCCACGCCTTGATCGTTCCCGAGTTAGGCCTACATCACCAAGACATCACTCATACTGCAGCAACATCAACATAACAGATTCTCCTCAGGGACACAAACAGCTCGCCTGACCATTATCAACGACCCATCAGTGCTGACACTGTTCGACTCCCAGAACCTGCGCGGTCGCTGTCCATACAGGGGCCCACTCCTCATTAACGTCAACAACGTCTTGAGTGTTTCACCCAAAACAAAACATTGATGGCATCAGCAGTGAAGGTGTTCTCAGATGAGTCGGTACTGCATTTCCAACAGAACAGAAAAGTAACATAAATAGTGATCTACTAAATATAAAATGCAATACACGATCCATGATTCAATAGCATTTCCAAGTTGACTAAATACCAAATGAATACACTACACATAAAAAGCTACACATACATAGTAAAGGCTAACTTACATGCGTTGAAAATGAATTGAGAATTGGTTCACAATGAAGACATTTTGGTACAGACACATCATCTCTAAAAAAAGATACCATTATTGATCATTGCACAATTCAGGTTTAACTGCTTCGGAAGCAACCCATTTTCGTATTTATTTGGGCATTGTAGGCGATTATAAATGCCATTAAATTCCGCATTTAGGCTCTTTGAAATCAGAATGTGGAAACATATAACACAATGGTTCAATCGCCATTATCATTTAATTAGTGTATCACTTTGTGTTTCCGGATTTCTAGATCTGTCACCACAACCTGTCAGGTGATGAGGTTCTTTCAAAAATGAGGATGATATTGATGTATACATGTTAAACCAAGTTCACAAATAAATTCAAAAATGAAACTTCATAGCATCTATAGAAGAGTGAAGGGCCATCCGAACTTCTAGGTCCTTAATCTTTACCTATAAGGCTCCCATTTGGCAGACCTGAAACATTTCAAAAAATATGGATTACATGTAAATATTGCACTTACTTACCTCATGAAAAATGGCACTTTGTTGTTAAAAACGGATCCTTTATCTGTATAATTTAATAAAAACTTTCTGAATGAAACCTGTCCTACTTCTGGTGAAATGTGAACCCAATTTGTTAGAGTTTGTGGTAAAACTGTAAAATAAGTTATGTTCCCCCATTTTTCATACGCTATGGAGGTTTGTTCAACGGCTTGAAATAAAACTGGTAGATAAGGGGCTGCATAGCTATTAAGGAACTCCTCCGGTTTTAGGTACTTTTTGTAGGCATCTACTTTGTGAACTTGCTGTGAACTTCCAAGCGGCTGGAGATGCCCTGGCCACAAAGATGGATCATCATCCAAACTCGCGGATCTTTTTGTAGATTCCTTAGAAACTTCGGATTCCTTAGACTTCCTGGGAGTCTTTGAGACTTTTTTGACGCACGTTACACTATGAAGTAAACAAAACAATGAAAAAAGGAAATATATCCAATGAAAAGAGAAAATTTTCCACATTTTGAACCAAGTTTACCACGTCTTCTTTAACATTTTGTGGTGAGAATGAACAGATTGGGTGATAAGGAATCCAAATTTAAAAAGAGAATTTTTGTTTCTGTAGTATAATGAAACTTGGTCACATGGGAACAGAATGATAAGGTCTTTATAGATAAACGAAAAACCGGGAAAGATAGGGGGCCCAATAGTTAAATGAAAAAAGGTAACAATGGAGTAGTCTCATTGAAAGCAGATCTAGAAGATTCGTTTTCTTCGTGTGAGAGATTAGGGTGGTTCAAAGGTAGTTAGTTATTACAGAAGGCACTGGCACAGGGAGTAACTTTACCTTGACATACATGTCAATCAAATTCAATGCGATTATGATTGACATTTTCCCTCTTGAAAATGGTTTTTACCTCCAATAGTACCCCAACTTCATTTCTTAAAAAAGAATGCACCAAGTCAATTGGGCCAATATGCACAAAGACACCTCTGTACATAAACTGTTGTCTTTTGAGACAATGAAGAAATTGAAATGAAAAAATCGTTGATAATTGTGTAAAAAATAACTATTTATTGTGATATGTAGTATCTAAAACTAGTATGGTTTACAATTATTAGTTGTCATAAATAATTATTTATCACTCTTAATTAAGCTGTAATATAGTTACGTTGTCGATTTAAAGGGACAGATCGTCATTCGTTTATTTTTTTTAGCTTTTTTTTTTTAATCGGTAGTAGTGTTCACAGCTCGCCGTCGAAACTGAGTCTTCAAAAGCAGAATGTGAAATTCCTATTATTTTGGAAGGAATATGATGCGATTTTTGTACATTTCTAGTCCTTCTAAAGGCTATTTCTATGTCTTCGAGACCCAAATTAACTCATGAATAAGGCGATTCTCTCCCTTTAAGCATATTGTATAGGTATGCATCTCTTGAATAGATAAATAAACCTCACAACTACTGCACCAAATTGTTTATCATAAACACCAAGTTGCTTTACCGAATATGTACTGCCATTTACAGAACCAATATTTTGATTGAGTAAATAAACTCTAACAAATTTTTATTTTGCCTTTACTGGACCAATAATTCCATTTCATAGCATAGAGTATTGTAGGGGCAAGTCTTTACAGAAGCAAAATTTTCGTGTCGAAAATTCATTGCAAAAATATTTTCGTGTTTGCATTATTCTTATTGACATTTTGATTTTGTAAATAAACTCAACCAATATCTTCAACTTGCCATGTTTGACCATTCTTAAATCAATATGTTCATTTTGTAAATTTCCTGAACCAATATTTTCACTTTGTAAATTTCCTGAACCAATATTTTCGTCTTGTAAATTAACTGCAATGAATCAATATTTGTAAATTTCCTGAACCAACATGTTTATTTTGTAAATTTCCTGAACCAATATTTTCATTTTGTAAATTTTTTGAACCATATGTTCATTTTGTAAATTTTGCACCAATATTTACATTTTGTAAATTTCCTGAACCAACATGTTCATTTTTGTTAATTTACTGAACCAATATGTTCATTTTGTAAATTTTGAACCAATATTTAAATTTTATTTCATTTTGTAAATTTCCTGAACCCATATTTTCATTTTGAAAATTTTTCCTGCACCAATATTTTCATTATTTAAAACAGTTTGATTCAATGAAGAAATTTCAGCGGTTATAAATAGATGTTATCTCCCTTGAATTAGTAACTACTGGACCATCTTTGGCTGTATTCGTTAGCGTTCAATCCAATCACTTCCAATGTAACTTCCATGATACAAAAACAAGTTCCTAATTATGTCAAGGTATTATACAGTGTGTTCGTAATACCTTGACATTGTGAAGATGAGGCCAGCCCGGTACGGCACATCAGCTGGTAAGATGATACACGTATTCGTTTAACAAGCCATCCATGCGACTTCCACTTGGTACAAGCGTGAATTGTGCCAGCCACTACAATACAACACAAAACTTTGTCGAGTGACTCGTTCAACTTGTATCCGAATACGTGTATTGTATCGATAACTTGTATCCATAGCAGTGACCCCATATCCTACTTTGGGAACGAAAGGAAAGTCTTGTTTGAAACGAATCTTCTTCCTTTGCGGCCAATTGGCACTGTTGAATGGGTAGTTCGAGAACGACACGGTTCCGGCATCGCCTGAAAATACAATACAATCTGGTCATACATTGAGGACAGTGATGGGGTCAAAGTAGCTATCAGAGACTGGTATAGAGTCAGATGTTTCGGACTAGTAAAGATATGAAGTGAAATCGAAACCTTGTCGTGCTAACCTTAAAATTGTAATTCAGAAGAAGTATTTAGAGGGGGCACTGATTGCATAAATTTGCACCACTAAAACAAAGCGTTTAATGACGTCAATAATCGCAAAATATGCTTTATCACATATGAACTTCGCGATTAGTGACGTCATAAAAAGCTTTGTTTTAATGCAAGTGCAGGAACCACAGACGTCTGATTGGAAATTGGAATGGTGCAAATAGGTGCTATCAGTGTCCCCGACAAACATACATAGTTTACATAACCTCTTTAGAATTTCTTGAACGAAATTGTTTCGTGGTAATGTGCCTTCAATCTGATCAATGATGATAAAATGAAGTGTAAACTTACAGCCGCCTCTGTGATAAACATTGCTAGATAGAGTATCTTTACCAGACAAAAGTTGTAATCCTGAAATGAAATTGATTAAGAAATAATCCAAATGTGCGTTAATCTATGATCCAATTTACGCGCAATTGTTTGGTTGAACTAGAAAACAATTTGGTTTGGTTGTAAAAGATTTGCAATCTCTATAATATGATTATCGAATCAGATTTCGGGAAAGAAAATTTGTCAGGCCCTCGACATGGAGGCCTATGACTCAAAAACATTTGTTGTGATTTAAACGTATAATTTTTTCAACCAGGTTTCAAGCTGTTATTGATGTAAGAGGGGGCACATAGAAAACAGATTTCTTGGCCTTTTACGTTAAAATCTTTTAGCAATTCGAAACCAAAACCGTGGATGCTACTGTCCTGGTAACATATGGCACATCTTCATCAGCCGAATCAAGTGAAGGATTCTTGTGCTAGAATTTAAAATTAAAAAAAAAACAAAATGTAGGCTACCTCGTACACCATTTCTAAGAGATGAAACATTAGCAGCTAGATTGTTGATATCCAAGGTATGCTGTTTGCCCGTTCCTCTACTTTCTCGGGCAATAGAACCAATATCCTTTAACCGATTACCCCACGATAACCGGAATTTAGACCAACTATTGTCTAAAGATGACATCTTTTTGCGCACTTTTTGCACCTGTTTTCGAGTATAATCTATGGCGGAATCTGTTGCGTTCTTCATATACTGAATCTGGCTCTGACTCACTGAAATAAAGATTCGAATCTTACTCCAAAAAATAGTCAATGCTCTTATTGTAATATATTTTTATGCTGAGTTTGGAAAAGACATCTTCTTTCACGTAATCAGTCGAATAAAAATTAGACCAAAATTTCGTTTCGTTTTTTATAAGCTTTTATTTTTAATATAGCCACTTCAGTTAGGGTGCTCTCTTGGTCTAATTAAATCGATATCATCTTCTTCAATCAATCAAATTTCGACCCTCTCCAGCTGACATGATGCGGTGTTTATCAGGATAGGTAAAAATGTTCATTTGACGAACGTTTAAGTGCTTAATTCAGTTATCTTGATTTTTATCAAAATGATGATACGAGCTCAGTTTGAGGCCTAATTTATTACCCAATAGAGAAATTAGTGTGATAATGGACAATATAGGTAAAACGATAACACAGACAAAACAACTCACCAGGCATTTCCGCCATTAACCTGATTTTGTGCTGCAGTTTCTCCGTGAGTTTTCTTTCGTGAGACAACGATTTATCTTGCTTATGTAACTTTTTCATTACATCGGTCATTGAGTCGTTTATAGATCTTTGGAACATTCTCATTTCAGCTCTTAAGGTACCCATTTCCTCCAGAACCAAGTCCACACCTCGCTTGATCTCAAATTGTTCCTCTTGAACTAATATCACAGCATGCTCCAGATTGGTCAAATTTTTATGAATCTCCGTAATAGACGGTTCGTTTAAAATTGTTTCCCAATCCAAACCGAACTCCTCGGGATTGATCGGAAACCCGTCTGGTGTTGCGAATACTGAGTTATCATCACCTGTACCACCATCGAGTTTAGAGAAATCTGGAAAGAATGGAAAATCGAACTCCTCTTGAATGTCTGAAATGAAAAGTTAAAAAAGATTCAATTTTAGTATTTTTTCATCTTTGACATGGACGGTTGAAGATTGGACATAATCTATAAGAAACGCCAGTAGGGGTACAGATGGGGCATTTGCCCAACCTAGAAAAAATATTTGTATATATATGAGTCAGGATGAACTGGATCAATTCTACTTTTCTTCGGTGAAAATTCTCTGGGAAGCTTTTAAGTAGAAAGTTTTAAATCTAAACCCCGAAAGTTGCTCCCCCTTTTTGTACCCACAGTCTCGGGAATGACTAAAATAGGGAAATATCGTTTAACCTATAAGTGTAAAAAGTAAAACTTCTTGGTTTTTGTGGGTGATTCGTGTAACCCCCAAGACCCCCTTTATGGAATAGTTCAACAAAAGTTCCACGGTACACTTGTACCATACAAAAGTCTAAAAAAAACTGTAATGACTCCTTTAACCGACCAGCTGTATTAAGTTCCACGGTACACTTGTACCATACAACAGTCTAAAAAAACTGTAATGACTCCTTTAACCGACCAGCTGTATTATGATATTTGAAGACATACAAACGTTAAAGGCGTGACATTTGATCATTTGATACGTTTCATAATAGTATGAGGAAACACTTCACAAAATATCTTTCTTAATATCAAGTAATTTGTACCCTGTGAGATAGGCTGATCACAGCTTTTACGTAAGAAGAATTGACCTCAACTATCTAACATGTTGGCTAAAGTTCTTACAACAATTTTGAATCCGTCTAATTATGGGAAAAGACTCAAGGCAATCAATGCCCATCTGGTCCAAGGAGAAATATAGTCCGAAATTCACAATTATTATGGCGAGAACATCATATTATAGTCTACTAGGCCATTATTACAAGTAATTATTACACAAGACTTAAAACCTTCCTGATCAAGGCCAATTATGTACGTGACGTGACTTCTTTAAACATTCAAAAATGGTCAAAAATTTTGGGGATATACGAGCAATCTGTGCGTACACTGAACAACCCACCTGGCCACTTGTATATCTCCCATAGCAAAACAAGAACGTGCATTATCTGCTTGAAACATTGAAGACCACAATAATCGTCCAATACCCACTATAGATCAAAGCAGACACGGAAGACCAATAGCTCAACTACCATAGGGTTTGGTTGAACTATGGGCCCTTGGGGGCTGATTCCCAGAAAAACTGCAAGAGAGCATTTTTTAAAAAGCAAATTCTCTGGGATTGGCCAAGTGGCACCAACCCTTCAAGTTGAGCCACTGCAGCGGACATTTAAAAGGAAGATTATGACTGTTTGTGCCGATGAGTATTGTCCATTGGAGAAGCATATCCGAGTTTTGCTCTTATCTATACTATTTTATCACAGCCGATCTAATGTTATCACTTTAACATGCTTAGTTTATGTCAATATATAGTAATACCTCCATCTGGGTGAAACGAAAACAGTAGCTGTATTATGTAATTGGGTACTGAGTCATTCCAATCACGAACAGCACAGAGGTGCAGTTTCCTTTGTGTTGCATAAATGGATGCAAACAGAACAAAGAAAAGACCAAAATCTAAAGAATTCAATCCGCTTTCATTTTATTTTGGTACGTGGTTTTACCAATGTAAATATAACACATCGTATGTAAAAACTCGTAATTAACACAATAAAGATTTATAAAAGGGAGACAGTCACGCAATAGACTATATACAACGTAGGCTTAGACGGGTGAGATTCCTATATGTGCATAGAACATGTATATTTTTTCATATATTCATAAAATATATTTTCTAGACATTAATAATCTATTAAATAAATACGTCCCGAGGGATTTTCCGAAAAAAATTAACAAAGCAGAGTGATCTCCCCAAAGAGTACACTTTTTTTCAGAAAAGTTACCGACGTAGAATGATCTCCCTTTATTACACTTCCGGCTTAGCTTGGTGAATTCGGCTTCTTTCTCCCTTTAAAACTTTAGGCTTGTACAATGAATGAATGGACACGATTTTGGGTCGAAGTGCACATGTACAGGTAAGAAAAGTATACGAAACATGACGTAGGCTTATATGAAGCAGATAATCGTAATGTAGATACTTTTTTTTACATCATTTTTATTTTTTGAGGCGGTGGACAGAAAAAAAGAATTTCTAAGATGGCGGCTTTCGTGCCTTTACTTTTTTCAGTAAGGATGGAATGTCGAAGAGGGGGTCAAGTCGTAAGGGGCATTTTTCGACCCAAGCGCCTGTGTTATCGATAACAGGATGATAAGGATTTATTGCAATATTCTAAGCAGACTGTGCAGACGTTATCGGTTGCCCGTATTTTTAGTTCGTCAAAGAACGGGACTGTATTCATTAAATATCTTTTTTATCAAATATTCCTAAATTGAAAATTAAACAAGCACTTCACAATTAAAATTCGGTAAGAAAATAACGAGTTTGCTCCTTCAAGTCTTATAACAATTTTCTTTCGTTTCATAAATGAAATTCTACCGAAATGTAGTATTTCTGAATTTGTAAAAACAAAAAGAAATTTGATGGTCAAAGGTGAATGTTATTTCAATTTTCCATGTGTAAAATATCTAACTGAAATGACATTTTTCTTTCTAAATTGAAAGTTATTTAAAGAGAGAGGGTAGAGATTTGCTTATATAAAAACATTATTACTATAGGTGTGGCACCAATCTGAAACTGATATACACCGTCTGTTACAATACAGCATTAATAGAATGGGTACGCTGGTTTTGCAAATGAACAAACTAGCAAACCTCATGCATAACCAATTGATGTATACTACTAACCCCATTTAACAACAGGAAATGATTAAATATAACTGCATGGCAATGGTATAATGCGGATTTATAGTGTTCGGTCCAATATTCCAAAAAAAACCATAACCGGATATTACCTTTGAACATTTACAATACCTTAGATTTTTAACTTCGCTTAACAACTAATATTTTGCAGCATCAAATTCTAATACAACAGATCTTTTTGTTTGCTAATTAGTTTGCTAAACTATCCCACCCTTTTATCAACAATAGTTGCTTACATTTCATTTTAAAGCGATATAATAGTCTAAATATTTACTTTTTACTATTTTCTCCGAAAAAAGAAATTGTAACATTTGAAATGTGGCATTTGGTAGATACAATTGATACTGAGAATTATCACAAAAGAAATATGTTCTAAATTCGCTATGTTATGTCTCAAGAGAGTGTCAATAAATCAGGTCAGTCTTGACTCCGGGGTTGCCATTTGATAATGGCATAATGGTATGTTACATACGTACAATAGATGATAAAAGAATAACCTAGTTTCTGAAGCCAAATAATATACATGTATGTATAAATGTTTGTTTTTGTTTAACCAGCTGACAGAGCGCAATCTAAGATACATGTTATATTTTAAAGAATGCAGAATGAACGCCAACTTGCATGCAGACGTAACGTGCGATATGACGTAATCGGGGCTTCTGCATCAACAAATGGTAATTACGATAGCGTATACCGCTACTTCCATCGAATTAAGGCCCATCAGTTTGCAATGCAAATATTTAGACGGCAAGTTCGATTCAAATTTTTAGACAAAACCTTATACGATGCTAGTTATTTGTTTCCAGACCAGTCATTCACAATTCAGTCTGAGAAACTTTTATCGGTGGAAATACTTCGGATTATGTTTCAGATTTCTGTTTAAACTGGCTCTTGTAAAACTTATGTTTCAAAATATGTTTGGAAGGGAATAATAACAAATGATTATCAACAAACTGGATCTTAATAATGATAACAAAGTATAGAAACTTATATAATAATCATGTACACAAATCTTTATCCGAATGATATATTTTTAATGAGACCTTTGTTTGTGGTCTTTTGTTTGCACTGCTTAAAGGTGTTTTTGTGCAGAAACATGCCTAGTAAATCAATTATGTGTAAGTCAGAATGATGTCAATGTTAGATTTGCTAAATTACTCACAAGAGAAGCATATATTTCTTTTCAACATCTAGATATGTCAGAAACACAACTGTCGTCAGTAACGCTGTTGTTTTTGGCAGAAGTTGTTTAACAGTAAAATATATAGTTTAAGAACTTGTCGAAACAAGGGCAGTATAACGTGAAATATTTGAATCTAAAACTAATGATATGTGTATATGGAAACATTTATGTCGAATTTCCCCCTAAACCAATATTTTGAAACTGTTTATTACAGTAATAATTCCCTTAACCACCACCCAATTCCTGATAATAAACATAGATTCTGTAACAAAAACAGAATTGACAGACAGGACATAGATTTATAAACCAGCGTAGTGAATGATATACGACGTAAATAGGCGATTTGATGAAAGACAGAGTATTTAAACTTATGCCTCATTTACGTTACAACCTGCAAATACGAGTATATTATTATTTCTCCAGTCAGAGTAATTACATAAGTTCATTCAAAGATTATATAATACTCGGAATTCAGTAACGTATTATATTATTATTTCTTCCCGAATTTTCTGTTAGAGTATATTATTCCCCCCCCCCCCCCCCCCAGACCCCAAAATATAGGAGTATAGTAGTATTCTTCTCCGAATTCAAGCAGAGTTAAGAATAAATTATTACTTCTTCCTTAATTCAGAGTAATTTGTTATTTATCTGAATTCAGTCCGAGTATATTATTATTGCCCCTTTGAATTCAGTCAGAGTATATAATTTCTCACAGAATTCAGCCACATTATATCTTTTATTTCTCTTCGAATCAAGTTCGAGTATTGTATTATTTCTTCTTAATTCAGTATATTATTAATTTTCCCCGAATACAGTCAGCTCTCCTCTTTTAGTCATGAAAGCAATTATGAATTGTTAGAGCATTACTAGTACCCAAAAAAGTAAATCGGTATAATCATGCAAATCTCCCTTTCAAAACTGTTTATTATGTGAGGCGGAAATCTTTGCATATCATTGACTGCATCGCATATTCCCGGTATTCTACTGTAGACCTATATATATTCCAAACAAAAATAAAGAATTTACTCTTTAGAATGTGGCATTTAACTTGATCCAGACAAAATATACACAAAGCTTTTTATTTTTAGCACATTTCATCAATGAACAAAGAGATTCAATGAACACGTTCTTTATAGTATAAATAGTATATCAGTTACTTACTTTATTGATACCGCCTTCATTTTCATAATACTTGTTATAATAAATTGTTATAAATGAACCATCCCACTTAGTTTTCTTCAAAACTATTGGAATATCATCAGTCGAATTTTTCTAAACTAGTATATGTTTCTGAATTTCCTCATAACCCTAGTAATATTTATAGTATAATTGTATCATTTCGATTTTAAAAAAATATTCGAACTTTTTGATGGATTTTAATCTAAAATTAATCAAATGCCCTCCAATCATGAACAGTGCCAAATTTGGAAAAGAGACGACTTTTAACCTTTTACATAAAGTCATTGTAAAGAGGTTTTCTAGTCTTTGACTTCTATTTGAGACATTCCAATTATTCGTCCAATGCCTGTGGTTCCTGCACAAAGAGTTAACCGGAAATGACGTAGCTCCCACATTAAAAACCACTTTACAATCCCTTTAAATTCAGTATACAAAATATTATTACAATATGCTAAATGGGTGAGATTCTTTAAAACTAGGTGTACCTTTTTACTGAATGTATTCCGACTATTTTTAAACTTTTGGCGTCTCTGTGTTGATGATGTCAGACAATGTTTCGTCTATTCGATGAAAGTATTGGTTAATTTAACACTATCATTTACTTTCATGACAACACCTTCAATTTGATATTGACGTCTTAATCCGAATATCTCGTAAAAAGATCGAACCTTGACTGAAGGGGAGGGGGGTGTACGCTAGCTTCAAAATCTTGACTGGTAGTCACAATGGAAGATTTGGTTGAATCTTGACAGCCGAGCTACATCAATTATGACTGTCGATCTACTAGAACCTTTACTGGAGATTTACTCGAATCTTGAGTGCAGAATCTTTCAAATCATGACTGAAGATTTACATGAATTATAACTGGGGATTAACCCGAATTAAGACTGAAAATTTAATCGAACAGTGAAAGATTTTGTTTAAGTTTAACTGTTTAACAAAGTTAGTCTAACACGAACGATATTTAAGTGTTAATCATTGTTGAAAAAGACACTCAGGTGTTAAATGATAAGAATTGTTTTTGATAATATTAACAGAACCAAACCCAAACATCAGTCTACTATTAATCTGATAGGGAATGTAAATAAACGCTTACCACTTACCATTACGTCACGTACTTTGATAATATTTAATCTTGAAACGTGGCATCGGTGTTTAAAAAAGAAAAAGATTCGTGTCACCGACCGGCAGCGGGCACTCGAGGAGACAAAAAAAAATCTCCAGTTGGTCGTTTTCCAGGAAAAGTAATCTGATTGGACGATGACCCGACAAATATCAAAGTGTAGTTAACACGAGATATCTTTTTGTCGTGAAAGTGCGGGCACACGTTAGATTTTACCCAAAATTCGAATCGGCGACAAAAATCGACCAAGACTGTTCATGTTCCCGCACCATTAATGCGATACAGTCTCTCATTTAACAACATTACAATCCGAATCCGAACATTCTGCTTAGATGTTGCTCTAACTACATCAAGGCAAATGAGGCAAATATCTCATGCCTAATTTGACAAAACATGTATTGCTATTTGATATACGGAAAGGATGGTTAGCCTACCATTTTAAGACTACGGAAAGCATTGCGTTGGAAGACCTAACTGAGTCAAAGACATAGTATTTTTGCCTCATAGAAAAAAACATGAATGAATTGGACAAATTTTGCATTCTCGTACGTTATTGCAAATCACAAAAATCGTAAATAGCCGTCAAATATAGGACAAAGTGTAACGCACGGACACATCGGGGCGAGACGAAACATTGCTCTCTTTACGAGTTTGGCCTTATGATATTTGATGTGTGCAGGGTGTTATTATTAAAACAGGTGTATACTATATACACCATATAATATTTATATAATAACATCTCTAGAGTATATCATTATACTTTCGATTCATAGGTTAATCAGTTTGCTATGCTTTTCTTGGCACAATCAATCTTGGAAACATGCATTTTAATGCAGATTAACATCTGGTGTCCAGAACGTTGCATGATTGAAATATTTAGTTTCACATTCCAATGAATTCCTTGTGTCTATTTACTCAGCTGATAAAACTTCATTCTTTAACTATTCAAAATACAAATTCGAGGATTAAATAAGGATAAATCGTCGTTAACACGGAAGTGACGTGTGAGAAATCGATATCTAATGTCTGCATCCTTATCATTCACAAGTAGAAAGCATTCTGACCCATCATTCAGGCTTCGCGTTATATCTGACAAGCTCTAGATTTATAAATGAAGTGAAATGGATGGAAATGAAATTAAATGAATGGAGTTTTACGTCATACTTTTCTGCACCATGTGGGCTAATGAAGACGGGCAACGCCATGCAGGGTGCAATGAGGAAAATTTTGCCAGGGCAGCGGCATTAGTCTGCTCTTTTTCGATTTCGAGGGATCTTTAACGTTCCCATCCGAACGACTAGTGAAATGAATGGAGTTTTACGTCCTACATTTCTGCACTTTTCCATTTTCTGGCTAATGGATTTGGGCAACGCCATGCAGGGTGCGATGAGGGAAATTTTTCCAGGACAGCCGCTGTGGCATTAGCCTGCTCTTTTTCGATTTCCGACTGTCGCGGGATCTTTAACGTGCACTGCAGCCTGTAGCATACGGGGCCTCGGTTTATAGTCTCATTCGAACGACTAGACGCTCTTTCCACGTCAGCCCATCTTACCTGCATCACGGGTTGAAAAATTCGAATTATTATCTCGATCTAGATTTATAACAGACATTTTACATACATGTATCGTGTAGTAATGTCTTATCTTTACTAGTCTACTTGACTTTATTATCAAGTTCAAGTTCTGATTTGAAGCGATTACATGGCCTCAGCACCACTATGTTGTTAAATAATAAACAAGAATTTTTTAGCAGAGAAAATTTAAATATTACCATTAGTCGTTTCTATTTGTTCTTGCAAGTACATCCATCGTCTTTCTTTACCTCTCGTCACTCCTTGACTGCGATAGCCACTATTCTTTGGCACAACCTTGGTACAAATGCGCTTTGGGGGCTAAGAAACCTCTAGGCCATATTTAGAAGAAAGTGCTCAATTAATCAGCAAATGAGAAAAACATCTCTTACGATTATGCCAAGTTCGTGGGTTTTTTGGGGTTTTTATTTTTATCGAGATCCCCATAAATATCTCCACTATAAAGCTTTGGTGGAACAAAAAAGGTAAAGAAAAGACTAAAAATATTGCAAACCAAGGTGCTAATTTTGTCGGATTGGCTAATAACGCAAATTAAAGATTGGAATAGCGGTTTGTTACATTTGACGACCTTCATTTTTAAAATGTACCTCAATAATATTCCATGGTTAAGACTATATAGCCTTCTTTAGCATAAAAAGTTACACCCAATTTTAATTTTGATATTAAAACTAACAAGCATGGGAATAAAGTTAAAATAAATATCCTCATATATCCTTTATATTTTGAACTATTTTAATTACATGTAATAAGGCGTCTAATCGTGTAAGATTGCTAACCTTTCATATAGACATAAAAACGAAACATTTTTGATATTATAGTTTTTGTAACAAGATAAAATGATACCGTCCACTGATCTGATTAAGATATTATAGATTTCAATGATCTGACGACATTGTTATACAAATAAAGTTCAAGGTCATTACTGGAATCGTATGAATAGTTCTATTTTGACTTGTATTATAAACCCGCATTTAACCCTTTTAAAACATACGGGTCCAATTTCTTGACCCCAATTTAAAAAGTATTTAGCCAGATCACCGATGGCACCCGCAGACACGAAACTACACGTTTAGATCTGTAGTCTAATCGAATTGTTCTCTAATTGTTCAGATTTTGTCTTATGCTGCAGAAATGTTTCATCGTCTTAATATTTCATTTGAAAATGTTTTGTTTCAATATCTGGACTAATATTAATTAATATTTAATGCTTTTAAAAGTTATGGCCCACCTGTGTAGAATGACCACTGCGAAACTTTCACAATTGTCGATTTTGTGAATCGTGAGGCATGTTTGAATTTCTCTAGTAATAGGATCTTTTTGGAATATCATTATACAATGATTATGCAACAGTCACGTTTAGATTTAAATATTTAATCATTTTAAACACATTGAGACCGGGTACTATTACTATATAAATAATCATTTTAAATAATTTAAAGGAATAGTTTCCTTTATCAAAATTATTTTAAATTTTGTGACGCTTTTAAGAACGTAAATGAAAAGAAAAGAAATCGACAAAATTTGTCATTTGAAGTCGAATTAGGCCTATGCTTATAAAGTGTTTTCATGTCGACCTTATGACTGACCGAATTTGCGACCTACGCATGGTTGCGAATAGGAAGAGCGGTCTTGGGATTCGAATGCAACTCTCATTGAACTAAGTTGTGAGTTGCATCCTGTACACATGACCATTTCATTATTCAATTGATTTTATCAATTTAATTTCATACATAGATGAAACATAGTCAGTTTTGACATCTTATATTAATAACTTACAATCTATGGTCAAATATAAAATTGTTTCTTTACTTATTCAAAGTCAAGTTGAAGACATTTCTGAATTTCCTCAAAGAAATTATCTAATCATGTCGGTACGTTTTTAGTTTGTAGGCTACATGATTGGGTTGAGCCCTAGAACAAGTATTAAAACGATATCACAATGATAAAATAGAGATTTTTCCACGTACCTGGTTTCTTCTCAAACTGGCCTCTTAGACCCGGACTTTCCACTCGATTTTCTTTTTTAATATCCTTAATTTGATTTGCAATACGACTACCTTTAATTTCAGTGACTCTGCTTCGCTCTGCATGTCTCTGCTGTGTCGAACTATCTGTTAGCTCTCTGTTACGACCACGTGAATTTCTAGTCCTTTGTTCAAGCTCCAATCTTCTTCGATTATGTTCTGCTAACCTCCGTTCGTGTTCCCTTTTCCTGCGTTCATATTCAACCTTTTTTCTTTCATAATCAGCTCTGTTCTGTTCATATTCTCTGTCAAGATTTCGTCTGCGATCATAATGTCCGTGGCCGTAAGTTTGCCGCTTTAATCGTCGTATACTACGAGAAGATATAAAGTCGTTTCCTATATGAACTTTATCATCTTGTATCGCAGATGGCTTGTCCTGAACTAGTTTAACATTACTTATGTCCAAACTATAACATATATGATATAAACAAAGGATAGTATACCATAGAACTTTACTTATTGAACACATATTTGAGCAAACGTTAACCCCATAAAATTCTTGATGATAATACGATCACTGGCTTAAATTTATATCAAAAGTTTTTTGGCATCTCATTCGTTCGACGACCAATCTAAATACGACCTGGTTATGGCACGAACTGATCGGCTTTGCAGCTCTAAATAGTATTAGCTTTCGGTAATTTACTGGTAACGCCCTTAGGAAATTAAAGGTTTACTTTTTTGCCTTATCTTTTTTGATAGCTCGTGTCTATACATTACATCTGTGTATTTGTGAATTTGATATTATAAATGATTATATTGAACCATGGGTGGTAGGACTATGAAGATATCTCTCTCAGAAACTGTGGTTGGGGAACGGAATGGTTGCCAGAATGAAACATTAATCTCTGTATTATTATTATGCACGTTGAGAAAAATCTGTGTGTGGTGTGGAGCTGTTCAGCATCACTTTATGCTTCTTAGTTCCAAGGCTTCCTTAGTTCCTAGGTTTCCTTGGTTCTTAGGCTTCCTTAGGTCCTAGGCTTCCTTAGCTCATATGCTTCCTTAGTTCCTAGGCTGGATTTTCATGAGTATTCGGTAGAGACAGCGCTTCAAAAGAGAAGCCGTCTACCCAACCACACCAACCAACCCAATATTTCATCATTATGAAATCTAAGGTCATCAAAACGTATCGTAATTTTTAGCTTAAAAGTATATTATAATTCCTTCAAATTGAATAATTTCGGCCCGTAAAATATGTGATCCATAAAACAAGCAATGCCTCTTTTGCGCAATCGGTAGCTTTCGGTCGAGACAATACAAGTGATAGGATGGATAGCTTTTCATCAATCCTGATGCACTGATATTGTTTACACAGTTTACAGTTTACACTGAATAAAGTGTACAGTAAGTTTCATCATCACAATGTAAATTGTTGAATTCACTTCTTTTAGTATATTTCAGTACTATTTTGTAGCAATACAGTATTGGCCTTGCTTCAAGGGATGTCGATAGACAAACACAGTCGATAAGTAACATCAGGTGTTTGGTGTTTGAGCAGAGCGAGCAAACTTATAGTATCGTTCTCTGTGATTGATATAGAGCATTAGACCCAAGATTACGGACTAAGACTTTCACAGGTTTTGATTTTAATCTGCCCTTGTGTTCTTCACTCTAGAAGTCAAATCACTTAATACCAATTTCTTTATAGAAAGGATATTTAGAAATAGAATTCTAGTATCAACAGCTGAATAGAGATTTTTTAGCTAGAGGTAAATTAACTGTTTTCTAACAGTCTTATTTGTTTATTTTCACATTCTTTATTTATTTAGTAAGGTGTTTCAGCAATGAAAATAGACAAATCTTGATCGCCACTTTTCATTTCTTCATTGAACTCCTTCATAAAATAGGTGATGCCATTCGGCCGAATTCTATGCTTGTCCATATTCACAATGTCAAGTTGAGTTGTAAGTTGACGAATACAGCTAACCATAGCCCCTGATTACAATCGCAGCCAAAATGTAAACAGTCATTCTGCCGAGGGCCCTGATTGGCTTTATTCGCTATGGTACGATCGAATCAAATCGCTGCATTTACTAAACTTTCGGGATACAAGAAAGTTGGTTATTTCAGATCCAATTTGTAATAACTTAACATGCGACGGTTTCATTCGTTCGATACTAAAACTACCAAAACAATGAAAATTCAAATCAGTACACGACATTTTATCGAAGTCATCGTGGGCGTATAAAACAAAGTGATAGATTCATCTAAATCATTTGCATGTTAGCATATGCTGTAACACGTTACCTATTATTCAAAAGAAACTTACTGAGGTCAAAAGAACCGGTCACAAGAAATAGTTAGGGGAGTTTGAGAATCAAAGTATATATACGTCTAATTGTGTTATCTACCAGCAGATAATTACTTATCTATAGGCCCTATCAATATGCAAAAAAGAAAATCTTAATTATAAAACAGAAGTAAAATACTATTGTCAATTTTAAATGTTGTTTAATGTGTAGACACTCTAGATTGCCGTGTTGATAAGAGATACGAGTAGCTAAAATACATTTTACGCGACTATTACGAATTAGATAACGATTAGTTCCCTTTAAACAGACAAGTAACCCATCTGAGAAAATTACACATTCAATAACAACTACCAGCTTGACGTCATCGAATACATTCAAACTTTTAAAACATATATGTTTTTCTTATCATTTGACTCCCAGAACAGCTGTATAAATGTTCTAAATATGTGATTCTTTCACAAGTAAAACCTGTCTGACTTCAGGGTGTATCAAGTACTGTATCACTTGGAACATTCGCAACAATAGAGTTGTACAGTGTTGTCAAATATAACTCGAATACAGGCGATTGTTAAAGCTATACTGTACCAGCAATATGTATCGAAAGTTCAACAACCAACTGGCGATTGCACAACTTCGGGGGGAGGAGGGGACACTGTAAAAGTTCCTTTTTCAGGAAAATGAAGCAAGTGTTGAACGTATATAGAAATTCTATGGGTCATACTCCCCTTGGGAAATTTTCACGATGAAGGGTTTAAAACCCGCATTTCGTTAAATATTAAATAGATTATTCTTTGCTTCAACCAACCCGAACTCCCCCAACCACTTCTTGTGACCACCTTTTGCGACCACCTATGTATTCAATATGTTTCGGTCACTTAAGTTTCTTTTGACCAATTAAGTAAAGTGTTACGTGCTGTATCATGAAATGTATGCAAATGATTTAGACGAATCTGTCGGGTAGTTTTATACGACCTTCTAACGACTAAGATAAACTTTCGTGTTCTCATGTATATTATTGGCCAGATCTTCTTTGACACGCAATGTATTGAAGAACGATTTCTGAGTTAATGTCCTTTACTTCACCCAAAATATATGAAAATTGGCCTATAGGCTAAACGCGATATGTAGGCTATACTAATCAAAGGAGAATAACTTAAGAATTAGCTTTTTGGATTTTTTGAATTTTGCACTAGTTTATTATCTTCCCTCTAGAAACAGTAAAGGGACAGATGCGCCATTTTGTGGCCAATCATAGGAATTTGTTTAGCTAAGTTAATCAGTAATAGTGTTCACAGCTCACCGTCGAAATTTGAGGCTTTAAATCCATGTGGGTCCAGAATTATCCGCGTTTGAATGTTAAAACGACCCCTTTATGCTGTTGCTTAACATTTGGTTTTTCTCTTCCTTGCAGAAGAAGACGGACTTGGAAGTGCAAAAGGTTGGTTATAGACTTTTTACCAGAAAAAAAAAGTGACGGAAGGCTGAGATGAAACAATATTGTGGTGTAGAGTGATGAAAACTTAGGTTTCAAGTTGGTAAACCAAGTATTTCTTTGTTAATTCTCGCCAACATTACTCTTAAGGGTGAAATGCCACTTAAATCCACATGGTAACCTTTTCTTAAAACAAATACTACTTGCTACATACAAAATATTACAAACCTTTACATCTATCTAAATCATATATTGGTGATGAGTTAATGAAGACGGGCAACGCCATGCAGGATACAATGAGGGAAATCTTGCCAGGACAGCGGCATTAACCCAGACGATAAAACAGACGCATAGTTGTTAAGTTGGGACAGCTATTCCAGTCTGACAAGGGGTGAACCAAATTGAAAAATTTAAACGTTCTATCACGAGCTATGTCGAAAACGAGCGCCATAACTGCAAGTTATCAATCAGAGATCAGCGATCAGAGGTCTATTGGGATCGAAAGGGAGCATGTCTATATCACTGTCCTGGCAAATAAATACTGCTCACTACATCAAGCTGACTTTCTTCATTGGCTCAATCAGCAGCAAAAAAGGTGAAATTTATTTCAATTATTTCAGAAGACAATATTTACGTCCTTCCGATACAGATGTACGTATCTCAAGAGAAAGGGGAGGTAGCTAATCTATTTCATGGAAAAACAAGACAACAGTAAGTTCAACTGCTAATCACATAGAGAATTCAAGATTTCGATTGGAAACACAAGGTTTTTGGCATTTACAATGGTTGACTTGTCAGGCTTTCCTACTGGCATTCGAGTTTCTAGGATCCATCTCTATATTACAGATTTTGCTATAGTTAAAACATATGGCAGAACCTATAATGCAACAAAAGCGAAAATAATTGACCAAAAAGTGACTTATTATTATAGTTTTTGCCATTTGGGGACAGACTTACTTGCTTGCTTGAAGTAGTACAGAGTTATCAACTTTCTCGCTTGAATTTGTTCGGAATTGTCAATTTTCTTGCTTGAAGTTGTTCAGAAATGTCATCTTTCATGCTAGAGGTAATTCAGAAATGTCAATTTTCTTGCTTGATATAAGCTGTTATTAGAATGTTGTATGGAGATAAATACAGACAACATTAAAAAATTACCACACTGATCATAATCTATTACCTCCCCTTATATACAAATTTGACAATTCTGTATTTTTTAAATGACTTGCGTATAATATCTTAAATATCACTTTCACAAAATAATTAAGGAATAATCATTTTTTTTCTTCAAATTTATGAAAACCCCGAATCATTCTAACCCTGATAGACGACAATACAAATTTAATGATTAAATGATAATATTCAGAGTTTAAAATCCGTTTTGATTGGCTTCATGTGATTGTATTGCTGTATGCTTTGTGTATTGACCAAAGCATGGTCCGTGACGGTTTCCTGAAGTTTGTTATCTTGGAGCTAGGTTTACACAGTTTATCAATTTTTTCAGACTGTTTCTTCGGGAATGTCGATTTTGTCATAACTGATGGTAATCTTTTCTACGAGATACTTAAGCTTAAATGGATCCCATAGGTGTTTTATGTGTACCAAATGAAGAATATCAGTATGTGGACCGTCCGATAAGGTGCTTTTTGATATGACTAGTCGCATATTGGCCCTGACAGTGACAACGGTATTGTGCATAAATCGGAACTAGAAATTGGAGAGTGAAGAATAATTATCAAACCTTTGAACCATTTTAGGAGGGTTGATTTCAGTTTGAAATGCTTGTAAATAGTCTCTAGAATTATACGAAAATCGCATTCCTTCAAAAATATCTTTTCCTATATTGTATTTTCTATATAATGACTCGTCTTTTCAACTTTCAAACGTGGACAATTCTGGACGCACATTGAAACCTCCAATTTCGACTGTGAGCTGTGAACACTATTACTTACTGGCTTAGCCAAACAAAAATTACCGTTTCTATGACTAAGATACGATTGGCCAGAAAATTGGTGCATCATCCATAAAAATATAATGTCACAAAGACAAAAATAGACCAATGTCAAATATAATTATAGTTCTCTCTGTTGTTTTCGTGCAAGAAATTACTTATGTTTTTCTTTTTTCTTTTTCCACACGCTGCTCTTCAATTCACAGAGACATGATCCGTATTCGGTATGACTCCCATAGTTAAACAAAGTTTCCCACGCAAACCAAAATAAGACAACTGGAACACAGTAAAATCTTTTGAAGTGGAGGCCAGGCTTGTAGCCAGACTTGAATCTTCGAAGAGGCAAGTAATCTATCTGGAAGGGCAATGGGGTATGGTGTTTAGTTGCAGTAATGGAATTGGTCGGTTGTCAGAATTTTTTCACTTTTTTTTTTTGCCCCTCTGTAGTTTCGGGCCTAATTACATCTTTAGTTATTTACAGTAGGGAGTTTTCAATGCATTGATCCCAGCTCCAAATAGTTACATACTTTATTAAATTTCATCGAACAGTACCTTTAAGTGGTGATGCGTTTTATTCATTCACATCACCATTTGCTGCTTTTCATTAAAAAAAATATAAATTTCAAAGCCCGCTGAGAAAAGGCGTTAACTCAATTTTTTCATAAAAGTCTCTTATATATAAAATCTCCTCAGAAAGGAAATCTAGACGAATCTTGAATTTGGAACAAGGAACAAGGACCAAATGATGTGGACTACACTTGCAAGTATTTTAGGGATTCGAAAGAGATTTGTGGTCTCTGCTTAAATTGACTATGACGTCACTATCGGAACTTGGATGGTCAATATTAAGAACCATAGACATCGGCCGGGAAATAAGTGTGGTGTAAAAGCTGTCGATTCAAATACCCATGACGAAGCAAAAGCTAGAAAATCTCTTTTGAATCCTATGAAAGAATTTGATGATCTTGAATGGAAATGTAAGATTAGGCTTATGGATTATGAGACGTAGAGTTCGAAGTTTAAAAATTAGCGCTCGTGATGAAATCATCTTGTTCTGCAGTTAAATTGATGAATTGGCAAACTTTTTCAGTCTTTGTCCCTGTCCTGTAAAGTCTGCTTCGCATGCTCAGTTAAGTGTGTGCGCTTTGCATTACCCATATAGCTAATGATAATTTTTTTTAATGATTTCAGACAGTCGTAATTGTGCTATTAGTCAGCTGTTATGGAGAAGAGGAGTATATGAACAGCAGACAAAAACGTCAAGGATATGGCTACGGTGGATCTGGCGGATATGGTGGACAGATGAGTGGCTATGGACAAGCAGCTGAACCTGCAGCAGCTGGTGGTTACGGAGGGATGGGTGGCTACGGACAAGCAGCAGATCCTGCTGCAGCTAGTGGTTATGGTGGTTATGGACAAGCTGCTGATCCTGCTGCAGGTGGTGGTTATGGTGGTATGGGAGGTTATGGACAAGCAGCTGATCCTGCAGCTGGTGGTTATGGTGGACAGCAGCAATATGGTGGACAATATGGCGGATTTGGGAAGTGAAATGGACAAGTAAATAATTCGAAATGTGTAACTTGTGACGGATAGAGTTTACTGTTACAAAGGGACATGTCATCTTTCAAGAAAAATATAGTTTATTTTGAAAATAATATTTTCTTGTCTTCATATTTAGTTATGTATTAGGCCGTACCGATTATAATGAAAAAATTATCGGGGACATTATTTGCACCATTCTAGTTGAATGACAGATGAATCAAGATTCAGTTGTCGCTTTGAAAGGTGCATGCGTTATCAGTAATATATAGACTACCACTCACAATGCATTTAAATATACATGTTTGTATTTCACTAATACATCTATGCAAATTTGGGAGAAAAATCCTCATACATGCCAGGAATATTTCATTTAAGTTTAAAATATGGACGCACGTTGCCGTTGCCTGTGTCAGTCAGTTCTTCAACATTTCTCGAAGCTAGAAATTGTCCTTTACTTGGCCGACGAACTATCTTAGTTTTTTAAGGCATTATAAAATGTATCCACCACCGTCATGTTTTGCTTGTTTTGTTAATCAACTATAGCCAGGCCAGGCCCCCCACCCCATTTTTACAGCCAGAGATACACGGAGAAAATAGCAATAGAATAGACTTAAGACAACCCTTTTACATAAGTTTAAATTTATCTTTCAATTGAAAGCCATTGGATGTTATTTTATCTGTCAAATAACAGGAGTTGAATGTTGGTAGTTTGTTTTGTCCCTTGGCCATAGGCCGTTATCACTGAAAGAACTATTTTAAATGACAAATCACTTAATTGTGATGAAGTGGCAATTCCGAAAATCACACTCACCATGAACCAACTCGTCATGAAGAACTAACCCAACCTTCTACTTTCTTTCACAGAGTAGGAATACAATCAATACGGTGCAAGCTATTATCACAATTTCTAAACAATTCGATAGATTTGTGTTTTGCCTGGACCGTCCTGTAAAAAGGCAAAATAATCCAACCAACTGAGCAGACGACACAGTTTTCAAATTAGATTTGTGTACATACTTGATAGTGTGGTAAGCTAGGTACATGTAAGTTGACTAATGTTTTATCAATAAAATGGACTATTTCAGCCAAAATCGATCTGAAAGTTGAAGGTAAGTGAATTTTTCAGAAATTTTCTCGACTATCACGTACTGAATGATGTTTAAATGTTCAAGCCCAAATACCTAAACAGTGGTAAGAAAATAACATACCAAATTTATTATTAGAAGATAAAAGATATCTTCACACTGTTATTTGGGTAGAGTTTTGACATGTGTGTAAGGGTGGTGGCCGAATCTATTGCTTAACATGTGCCAATTGTGAGTCACAGAACAACCCACATTTTTGATCATAATAATTTCTTGATTTTAAATCTTAAATTGTGATTTTAACGCAACGAACAGATGAGGCCAGGATATCCAACCAGAAATAACTCCTAAATCTAGTGAAATATAGTTTAACATTAGACTTGATTGTTCAGAGGGGCAAATAATATATCTGGAGGGGCCTGAACATTACTCTAAAACAGGATTGTAAGATGACAATCTGATGATAGCCAAAACAGCCAAAGTAGCAGTGTTTCAGTGAGTAATGAACATGGTCGAATGGGTTGCTTTTCAGAAAGTTAGGATCCAGTTTTCAATCTCCATTTTGGTACATATCTAATCCAGTTTTCCCACAGTCAGTGATGCTTTTCGGAGGGGCGGACACTCAAGTCTTTCAGAAAGGACAACAAAACCGTGAGTTGGACAGTTTATTACACTTCTCTGGAAAAGGCAAGACTAATGTCGCTGACCTGATAAAACCTCATATAGTGATTGCCATCCAAAACATTTAGAGATTATCGAATCAAAGCAAAATATCCTTTCTCACTTGTGGTCCCCGGTCCACCCCATTTCCAAAGGATTGTTCAGCCTATACCCCGTGTGTAAGCTAAACGTCGGGAGAAAGTTTGACAATCAGACGTTAGTTATCCCTTTAACATATTCAGTCCTGTTTATGATTGCACAAACTTTTCACCTTGACACGCTTAATTGGAGCACCTAGATCTAAAAATTATTTTGTATACTATAATACCAGTACTAAAAACTCCATTTTGTATTCTTAGACTTGTTAAATACATTATGGGGTATTTATGTATTCATCTGTCAGTGAAGGTTCATAAGTCGTGACATACTTCCATAACAATTATATCTGATGTGGCAAACACCTCAAACATATAAATATGTCAGTCAAAAACGAACTAACTAGATCAACACACAAGAAATGTATAGGTGCAAACCTGTTTCTCAATCCCTTCTATATTTTTAGATCGTTTTAAAGACAGATTTATTTGAAACGACAATTTTTTTTAGCTAAGCCTTCAAATTCATATGTGTTCAGAATTATCCACTTTTGAAAGTTAAAGGACGAGTCGTCTTTTCTTGAGACACTGCCATATAGAAAAGACATCTATAGAAATAAGAAAAGAAATTCCTAGTTTGAGATATTATTGAAGGAATTAAGCCATTTTAGTACATTTCTATTACTTCTGGAGACTAGTTATATCTATTCAAGACTCAAATCAACCCCTATAATTTGCATATCTGTTCCTTTATGATGAACTTGAAAATCTAAGCATATCATTTAAAACATATTTAATTGCTTGACGGACCTGATCCGTAATATGAAGAAGGAACATGTAGGCGTAGCTGCAATATATATATATGATCGCCGCATTACAATAGCCACCGTTTCATTACTACTCAACCCAATCAAAATTATAGATTACAAGTTCGTTTCATTTTTTTTTCATATTGCCATCTCCTTTGTAATCTAACGAAGCTAATCCCAAAGTAAAGCAATATGACAGCCCCTTCTTCATTGTTAATTTAATGGTCTGTACGATTCGTTCATGTCATATGAGCATATAAAGTTGAATATCCGAAAGGCTTTTAATCGTGTATCATCAACTACTGAATGTAACATTGACTGATCTCGGTACAAATATTTACCAAACAGACCGTAAACATCATGGACATTCATGGTTCACATGACATCACCTATAGGACTTATAATTAACATCTAATTACTGAAGGCCTACAAATACATTTCAAGTATCATGTTGTAAAGAACTAGGTTTTATGTGTGTCATAATTTAAAGAAGTGAAATTTGCTCGATCAGCACTATTTTGCACACATGTTGATAAAATGTGGTGATCATAGCCATCATTAAAGGGATGCATTGATCAAATCCCAACTGCATCAAATCTCCAAATCGGAAGTGGTAAATTTTGCAGATTTCGGTATAGTACTAATGAATGTGCAAAATTCCTTTTTTCTGCATCAACTTATTATTCAAAGCATGTCCAATCAAAGATGGTTTTTCAGTCTCTCTGCGATCATGTGAACTAAATGCAAATTCTTCCCAGATTCTGTAAGTTATTTCAACGGTCTTTTAAATAACGGTTGCTCTCATTGTCTGTCATTTTCAACATTTTGCATTCGGTTTGGTAAAAATTTGGTAATTATTATCCTAGCCCACCGCACTGTGCTCAATAGATTTTATTTTACACCGTTCTTTTTGACCAATCATACTTTACTCTCAGAAATGGGAATATTTTAGTTAAGCCAATCAGTTAATATACTGTTCACAACTCACCATCGAAATTTGAGCCTTCAAATCCATCTGTGTCCAGAATCATGCGCGTTTGAATAAGATACACTGTGATATACAGAAAAGACGTATATAAAAATTGTGGGTAAAATTATTAGTTTGAGATATTTTTGAAGGAATTATGCGATTTTCGAACATTTCTATAGCACTTCTGGAAAGTATTTACATATTTCCAAGACTCAAATCAACAACCCAAAATGGCACATCTATCCCTTTTAAGAGGAATTTGCAACTTTTTTTTATGTTTTCTGATGTTACTAAACTTTCGAGTACCATTTTAATAAACTAACATTTTGATTAACGGAGATAATTTGCTCCAAGTTATGGACAGGAAATGGCATTACAAGACAGTATACAGTATATGACACACAATAGAATTTCATTACGCAGCTTCATAGATAAAATCTAAATCTCATTTGATGTGATAAAGGATATCCTCATAAAAACGATTTGGAAAGAAATTGTTTTTGATCAAACTCATTCATTCTTTACATTACCTTGACAACAGAGGCTAGCAATAAGGAAACATTATAGCATGAGATACTCGTAAAATCTAAAAGCATGCTGTAAACTTTGGTTGACTGACTCTATATCGCTTTTAATGTAACAATCAGTTATCTTGAAATTAAGTCAGATTTTGTGATTAACTTTTCTCATTATACAATCAAACCTGTACGAAGGGTCACCCGTATCATTCAATTAACGACTTGTAGACATTTTCCGATTTTCATCCCAATTCAACACAAACCAAGTCCGCCGATTTCACCGTACATGTTGGTCTTACATAAAGCAATCCCCTCCAGTGTTTCTTCTGACCATTTGTTTATTGCATGTCTTACTGTAGATCTGACAATGTACTTCGTGAAATGATGTTCAGCTGCCTTTGACCCAATGTCTTCTATAAAAACTTCTGGTAAATTGAGCGTATTCGTGATATATTTTACTAAGAATACTCCGATTTTAATTACTCACATTTTCATTACAATCATATAAACACAAGGATTGTTTCATAGGCTGGTTATCAAGTTGCTTTTAACACATTTAAAAAGTTTTAAACAAAACCTGAATATTTGTGTTCAATGGGAACAGGATTTTTTTACACTTTTACGTTGATACTGTGACCAATGGTCCAGTTTTAATGATGTTACATTGTATTTTGTTTTTAGAAAAAAAAATCTCTACAGACTAAATTATACTCCCAAATAACATTTTATCTGATGTTTTCTGATAGACAACGAATCACAAATCACGTAAAATAGATTTTATGTTATTAAACGAAGGCTTTTAAAATAACGAAGCACGGTTTTATTTTATTAGAGATAAAACATTTATAAAATAACTGAAGACAAGAAATAGAATAGTTTTTGAACATTTCGGTAACAACGTATCAAATAGCGTTTAGATGTGATGTACTCTACTTTGAAGGACTTGCTGACATTTACAGAAAGTCGTTTCCTTAGATCCATCCAGAAAATGTAGAGAAATTCTGGTCAACCTGCCCAGTTGATAGGCGCCATATTGTAACCCTGTGTTTCAGAAAGGCTGACTCAAAATGGACATTTCTCTCACTTTCAAATAAATTGGAATCTTTCACCAGATTTAACCCTGTACCAGTGCCTTCTGCTGAGTTACCTTTCAACCGCCCTAATCTCCAGATTTGACACAGCCAGAAACGTTCTAAACCGACTTAAAACCATCAGGATAAGCGACGTCGACTATGGCGAGGCAGGGAAAACATAGCGCAGCGGCCATCAGCGAGACCTTTCTAGCCACGAATTTGAATTGCAAATGCCTAAGGTTGTATCTTATAGTTCCTCAACCTTCCTGAAGATCCTAATTCCCATTTCAGGTTGTTTTTTTATTGCATGTATATTTTTTTTTTTTTTTGATAGACATACATTAAGACATTATATTGGTCAAAAATGCAATCGATAAGTAAATCAATGAATTATCATAAACAAGAATTTATTGAATTATGGAAACAGCTTCGCTAAAAAATACTACCTGTATTGAATATGATCATGGTTAAAGAGGAGTTTCGGCATCATTTT